GCCAGCGCTGTACCACTGAGCCACAACCCCAGCCCCCTTTATTCCATTTTTATATGGTGTTTAACAATTGTAGAGTTGTTTTACTTTCCAGAGTATTTTTGTTACCTCACTGTAACCTTATCTCTACCTTTTTTTTTCTGTTTTGTATGATATACTTACACAGAGAAAAATGCATGACAAATGTGTTTTTACATCTACCGCACAGCTGGAGAAAGAGAACGCTTGTCAGCACCTAGACCCTGTTCTGTATGTGACCCCGGTGACAGTTTCCTTGCTCTACAGGATTAACCACTTTTCCTCGATCTTCTAATCATTTCTAAATTTTATTTACTGTTATATTGTATATGCACACATTTCTAAATACTATATTAGTTTTACCTGTTTTTGAACTTTTCCCCAGTTTTGATTTAGAAATACTTTAAACCTACAGAGCAAACAAAGGATTTAGTGTATTCTTGTATGGCTTGTTAATCGTGATCACAGGTGTGCTGTATGCCTTGTATATCTGTAAGGACAAACCATTGCTTTTGTTCTCGGTGGCCCCTAGATTCAGACAAGATAGAAATCCACGCCTCAGGAAGGAAGGCCCCTAAAAAATCAAGACTTTGGGCGTGTGGTCCAGCTTGTTCTCTCCCTGCCCAAGAGAAGCTGGAAGTTGGGATTTTCCACCTTGTTGTGTTGTGCTATGCCGGGGGTGGAGGCTCTAGAGAGTTGATGCACCAGATTTTCCTACCAGCTTTGATGCAACAGGTTTCAAGTTCACTTGGGGTGAGACTCTTAAACTAGTTTCTGATGAAAAGAGTTTTTCTGTGTATTAATTTGGCATCTCAGTGGGGTAAAGAGGTCTGGGTCTTCCATTCCCTCCTCTTGCTGGTATCCCTCCCTAGCCCCCATTGTCCTCTGTTTTTGTAAACAAAGTTCTGTTGAAATACAGCTTCATACCCATTTGTTTACATTTTGCTTATAGAAATAACATACAGAAAGTCTGAATGGAAATAGAAAATCAAGAAGAAATTTAAAATTCTGAATAGACTTATAGCAATTAAAGAGTTTAAATTAATCATCAAAAACCTCCCAGAAAGCAATCCCTGGTACACATAACTTTACTGGTGATTGCTACAAAACATACAAAGAAGAATTAGCCTCAGTCATTCACAGACTCTCCTAAACAATAGAAGTGTACACTTTCCAACTTAGTCTTTTTGGCCTGTATTTCTCCCTTATACCAAAACAAGTCAAAGGGGGGGGGGGCACAGACAACTATTTCCCTTCTGAATAGATGTGCACAAATTCTCCACAAAATACCAAACAGAATCCAGCAACATACAAAAAGAATTATACACCATGACCAAGTGGTTTTAATCTTAAGAATGCAAGCTTTAGTTTAACATTTGAAAATCAGTTGATGTAATGCACCATACTAATTTAAGAAAGGGAAAAGAAACATGTCAAGCACAGGGAAAAAAAAAACATGAAAAATGCTGCATCTTTTCATAATTCTCAACAAATTAGGAATAAAAGGGGAATTTCTTTAACCTATAAAGAGCATCTATGAAAACCTGAAGGCTGGATCATTCTTACCATACAAAGAGTACAAAGTTCCCCACTAAAATCAAGACCAAGACAGTGATGCCTGTTCTTGTCACTTCTATTCAATATTAAACCCCAGGTCTGACCAGGACAACTAGACGAGATAAAGAAACAAAAGACACCCTGTAGGAAAGGAAGAAATAAAACCGTTTGTCTGCATATGTTGTGCACTAGTATGTAGATATTCCTTAGGAATGCATTTTAGGAAAATAAAAACCATTAGAACTAATAAGCAGGATTATTAGGGTTACAGGATACAAGATCAATATACACAAAAACCCCTATTTTTGTACATTGGCAATAAATAATCTTAAAATTAAGAAAATTCTATTTACAATAACATCAAAGAAGAATAAAATACTTAAATGTAAATTTGACACAATCAGTGTAAGGCTTGTATACTGAAAACTAGAAGTCATTACCAAGGGAAATTAAAAAATTAAAAAAACATTCCATGTTCATGAGTCAAAAGACACAAATTAGTATTACAGTACCATAAATTGATCTATGAATTTAATGCATTCCCCTGAAAATCTCAGTTGTCTTTCTTGTGGAAATTGACAACTTGATTTTAAAATTCACATRGAAAATAAGGTACCAGAACAGCTAAAGCAATCTTTAAAAGGCAACCAGAATTGGAGGACTCACACTTCCCAATTTCAGAAACTTTGTACAGAGCAATAGTAGTTAAGACACTGATACCAACATAAGGATAGATGCATAGATAAATGGAAAAGAATTTAGATTCTAGAAATAGACCGTTATATTTGTTGTCGGTTGATTTTGACTGTGGTACCAATACAGCTTAACAGAGAAAAGAGCAGTCTTTGCAACAAATGATGCTAGAACACTTTAATATCCACATGCAAAAAAAAAAAAAAATCATTTGGACCCCTATCTCACACCATACTCTAACATTAATTCAAAATGTAACATTAAAGCTAAGTATATCAGATGTAAATGTAATGGAACAAAACTGTACGCCTAGAAGAAAACACCATGTATCACAATTACTCTGGACTGGGCACTGTTTTTTTGGGTTGGAATACAGAAGCATAAGTGACAAAAGATAAAATAATTAGATTATTAATAAGTAATAATTAGATTACTTAAAGTTTTAAAAATTTTGTGTTCCAAATGATGACTATCAAGAAAATAAGACAATCCACAGAATGGGTTAAATATTTGCAAGTCATACATCTCATGCAAAAAGAACTAAGTCTGTCTGATGTTAATGAAGTGGGGAAGCATAAATCCTCTTACAGGTTCAGTCATCATATTGGGGCTGGCATTCCTGTGTGTCACCACATTGTATATATTGCCTAGTTGGTGTACTCATGTTGTTTTACTATATGACTTTATGAGCTACCGTCTTAAAGGGCATAATAAGAAAGGGCAGAAGGCCTTTGTCCCTTCTTGTGAATTTAAGAAGAGGACTGATGCCCGAGGTGGAGAACCCTATTTGCACACACTGTTGACTGCCCATATTTGTCACTACTGTCTCTGAAACAGTGTTTAGGCATAAGCATTGTTGGGTAGAAGTGTCTTCCTAAAGTGTAACCCCCCAGCCCTAAGACTTTGGAGGACCAGAGAGGGCATTCAGAGAAGAGCTCAAGGACAGCCATCTTCAGCTCCTAGCCGCTGTCAGCCTTTCCCCTGTTCCAAGATGCAGGAGTCGGCTCTGATGGCCTCAAGACAACAGGGAAGGAGGTRGAGAGTAAGTGTTGGGAAGCCTTCCTCTGCCTGGCCTCTCTGTGTCAGCTTGGACTGCCCTTTGCCCCGCAATCCCCCTCGTTCCTCCCAACTGCCAGTTCAAGGCAGCCTTCAGTTCCCCGAGGATTTCTCCCTGGGTTTGTTGTTATTTCTCAGAATCCATATCTCCTTCTAACTTTCAAGTTCTTTCATCAATGTTGGCAAATTAGGTGGGAGTAGCAAGGAGACCCCATATGTACTACTAATTTGTCATCTTTGAAGATACATAAAACCCAAGTAATTTTTTTAGCTAGCAAAAAATGATCATGGGTTCACTGTTTAATCAAATTTCCCAAGTCTTAAATTGGAGGCGATCAACTGAATGGAAGAAAGTGTAGAGACAAAACTTCTTTAAGGACAAAAGCAAGCTGGATACTTGAACCAGATAGAAAACACAGTTCTGCCTCTGCATTTTCAGCTTCTTAGGGTTGGGGGTTTAAACACAAACCTTGAATTTGAATTAAAAAGCACATAAAATTTTTTAAAGCATGGCCCAAAATGTTTGCATGAAGAAAGGGCCTCATGAAAGAAGGTTGTATCTGACTCAGAACGTGACAGTTTGAATCGCTGTAGAGGTCAGGGAGGAAACCAGCGAACAGCTGGCCGAAACATAGGTCAGTCACCAGCACCCAGCCTGGGCGGGATGTTGGGAGTGTGGAAACCTAGCAGCGTACTTGTTTGTGTTGGGTAAGATCAGATCAGGAGAGCCTTAATAAGGAGAGAGAGAGAGAGAGAGAGAGAGAGAGAGAGAGAGAGAGAGAGTGTGTGTGTGTGTGTGTGTGTGTGTGTGTGGAGAGAGAGAGAGAGAGAAAGCAAACACAGTGCATGCTCTTATCACATGCCTGGGACTGTGCTAGATATTATTATGGGCAGCGTGCAGAAAGTATGTGATGTATCATTTGCCCTCAGGGTGCTGATGATCTTGCCGGAGAGAGAAGGCTCAGGACAATGAAATGACCATAGAACGCTAAGAAAAAAAAAATGTATGATTTACGTGCAGAATTCTCTGATGCTGTATAAGTTGAGAAGAATGGCTACAGAAGCACTAAGTGGACTTCATTAGATTTCACTTTGAAAGCAAACTTGGTTTTTTGTTTTTGTTTTGTTTTATTTTGGTGTTAAGTTTTTTGAATTCTTGATATATCCTAGAGATTAATGCATGATCTGAAGTGCATGTGGTAAAGATTTTCTGCCAATCTGTAGGCTCTATGCTCACATTATTGATTGTTTCCTTTGCCAAGAAGAAGCTTTTTAGTTTGAATCCATCCCATTTATTTACCAGTGCAGTTCGAGAAGTACATGGTTCTCAGTCTGTAGGAGGGCAGGGTGGCATTGCTGAGAGAAAAGGACCAATCTGGTCCACTTGGTCCCTGCCTGTTCCTCATTACACTGTAGGTTTCACTGGGCTGAGACTGACTTTGCTGTATCATGGCACTTGGCATAGCAGGTAGCCTGTGACAGACACTCAATAAATATTTGCTGAGTAGTGAAATGTATTTTGTGTGTAATTTTACATTTTAATTAATTTGATATTTTAATGTATTTGAATATGAACTTTTAATAATTTGGATATTTAATGTTTTAAATGACTGGTACTTATCTTTACAATTAGAATTATCTTTGAAGTATTTGTAACAGTTGCCTTTTCATTTTTACAGGCCAGTTGGAATGCCAAAAATGGAGAAGGTCTACTTACATAATCCTAGTTCTGAAGAAACCATTACTTTAGTATCCATATCTGCTACAACATCACATTTTCATGCATCATTTTTTCAAAATAGGGTAAGTTTCTCTGCTAAAAATTATCTCTCCTGGGTGCTTAGTTGGATATTTTATTGATGAATAATTTTATTCACTGTAATTAGAATCTGGCTTGAATGTTTCTTATCTTTCCTAGATTTGAGTTTGTTCAGTTTCCCGAGAGTTATTACTCCTTCCCTTAAAAAGACATTGTTTTTCTCAACACAAAACACAAAAACAGCTGGGAATCTTAAATATCCTTACAGTCAGTTGATTTTCTCTTAATAATTTCTTGGCATCTTTCTATTGGTGCACAACAAATTATCATAAATTTGATGGCTTAAGACCGTACCCACTCATTAGCACGCAGTCAGTAGGTTGCGAATCCAGTGGGTTGTTAGCTCAGCTATCACAGGGTGAGCCCTTATCTGGAGGTGCTGAGGGGAAATCTACCTCCAGACTCATTCGAGTTGTCGGCACAATTGAGTTCCTGTGCCTGTGGAACTGAAGCCCCATTYGGTTGCTGATGTTAACCACAGATCCCTCTCGGCCCGACATTCCTTCTCAGGGGCCCCTCCACCTCCACGCCAACAGCAATGTGTTATTTCCCCTTACTCTTCCTCTTCTGCCACCAGTGGAGCAAACTCTGCTTTTGAAGACTCGTGGCACTGGCTCAGGGCCATCTGCATGGCCTGCCTTTCCACTAACTGAGCGTCAGCTGACTGCCAAATCCTTTACCATGCCTTGTAAATAACCACAGGGGCAGGGCCCTGGCATAGTCACAGGCATCTTGGGACTATGTTAGGGCTCTACCGCAGGCATGCTCTAAAATTTTACTTATAGTTTTGTAGTTAGTCAGTGGACTTGTTATGTTATTTTTTAAAAAAGGACTTTTTTCTTATCAAAATTAAAAATTGGATCTTAAGTTTTGAATTTAAGAGAATGCATTAAGCTTTAATGTATAAGTATCTAGTATCAGAGAAGTAAATAAATGGAACCTAATTTCATCTTTCCACTGACTCCTCTGAAGAGATGCAATAAAGAACAAAAAAGGAACTTTTTTAAACATAGAAGCATTAGTTTTATATCAGTTGTTTAGATTTTTACATTTCTCATTTCTAAAGTCCTATTTCATCATATGTTACTAGGTAGCAACTTATAGGATTTAAAAAAAATAATTTTGACTTTTTTTCACTTAAACGCATTTTATAAATGAAGTATCGATAAGTCATCATGTTATTTTGGTAATAAATTTTTTTATAGTACTAATGGAAAATATCTCTTTTCTTAAATGTTTCTGAAAGTAAATTTCACCTAAGTTCATTATCAATGTGTTTGTTGTACCTAAAAGATAACTCCACAGTTCTTATAAATGTGTAAAGGTCTCAGTAGAATTCTAGTTCTGATAGACCTGTGTGTATATTGAAAAGCCTTATCCTGGAGAGGTTTGCCCAGGTCATGCAGTTATTTGCAAGAACTAAGGCGAAGGGGCTGGGGATGTGGCTCAAGCCGTAGCGCGCTCACCTGGCATGCGTGCGGCCCAGGTTCGATCCTCAGCACCACATACAAACAAAGATGTTGTGTCCGCCAAAAACTAAAAAATAAATATTAAAAACTCTCCTCCTCCCCCCTCTCTATCTCTATCTCTCTCTCTCTCTCAAAAAAAAAAAAAAAAAAAAAACTAAGGTGAGGTCTAGGGCACTTAGCCTCCCAGTGATCCCAGTGGTACTGCACTACAGTGGCTGGCTTGTGTCCTACACTCATATCATGTGGAACCAGCCAGCTTTCCTCAGTGCCTGTGTGTGTGTTGAGTTAGAAGGCAGGTAAACATGGAAACAGTTCAAAAATAGTTCACATCTGCACTACACGTTTTATTTATAACTTTTTTAACATTGCTAGTTCAAGTGATGTTTGTTGTTTCTGAACACCAGCTTTACTTGGGGTAAAGGCCAGGGTTTTCACTCTTTTCTCTACCTTCACAAGCCAGAGGGACAGGGAGTTCTGTGGAGAGCATGTGGCCCACCAAGGCTGCAGTCTTAGTGGCCTTTTAGAGTGTCAGTCTATGCACAGTTCTGATTCTTCAAGAAAAATCAGGAATAAGAATTTTTATGTTTCCCAGTTTTTACACATTGATAATGAACTCAGTTTCAGAAACAGTGTGGACCAAACAACATTAGCTAAAGATCACCATTTTACCATTTCTGAACTAGATCTGTTTCTACAGATGAACTTATGTGAAGAGAATAGTTTTCCTGGAAATTCTTAAAAATATAAACTGAGGCTGGGGATATAGTTCAGTTGGTAGAATGCTCGCCTGGAATTCACAAGGACCTGGGTTCAATCCCCAGCACCACAAAAAAATAAAAGTGTACATAATCAAAGAACAAGTTAAAAATAGATCTGTGTTTTCTGCTGTCAGGAGGTGGAATTAAACAGTAAAAGCAACATTTAGATGGTCCAGATTTTGCTTCAAAGGATACAGCTGCAATCTGCTTTTTTTACCTTTGTTCCTCCTCCTTATCTTTCCATCTTCTTCCCTGCGGTAACATTGACTCCAGAAGCTCAGGAGGAGGAATGGAGAGAGAATGAACTCCTGAGGGAAGAAATAACCTCCTTCCCCTCCTCCTCAGCTTTTGTGCCTGCAGCCAGGGGCTTTGGTGTTTCTGCACCCAGGCGAGCAGACCTTTCTGTGTGTCCTTGCGACTCTGCCTCCCTGCATCATCCTCAGCATCCTAGGCAGGTCTTAACTTCTTTAGCAATAAAAAATTTTCTGTAACTCATAGAGTTTTTGATTATTAACTGATGCCACCTTCATATTAACCAGTAGGGTAAGAGATGTAGAAATGTGTTTTTCTGACATCTTATTTCTCTTTATATATCTTCAATTATTAATTTATCTACAGTTATTAGTAATTAAATATATTTTTCTAATTATACTTAAAAGTTACCTAATATTAAGACTGCAGGTCAGTCTCATATACAACGTATGTTTTGCATCAAAGGATACAGTCTTTTAATATTGTTTGGATAGTCATATTTCACTTGTTTGAACTATGGAAGGGGATGCCTTACACACATAGCAAGGAAACAAAAATAATTTTGTCTTTGATAACTGAAATTTTTTGAGTAAATCAATTTCCAGACAAACTGAAAACTAAGAAAAACTTTGTTTCAGTCTAAATGTTTTGGTCCACTTACATGCATGTGCTTTAGAATGAAAAATAATTTTATGGGTTGAAGGCCATTAATGAATACTAATGACTATCTTTAATTCATTGTAGAAACTGGACATTATTTATTCTGTTTTAGGTTAAACTGTGATGTTCAAGCATGGTGTTGGGAATTGAACAGAACATGATTTAGCATTTGTATGGGATATTGTACAGATGACAAAAAGAATGAAATAGATCTGTATCTGTTAATCTAGGATATGCTGTGAATAACATGCATGTGTTTATGTAAGAAAGGCATGTGGTGGAGCAGGATGTAATGTCATGTTTTATAGAAAGCAAAGAATCTATGTACCTTTGATTATAAGAGCTAGAGCAAGTTACAGATATTCAGGTTAACTAGATAACCTGAGGGGTGAGAATGGACAAGGCTTGAGGATATTAACTTTTTCTTCTTAGATCTTTGCACTGTATTACTAAGTATAATAAGGACGACTTTGGCAACTTAAATCAGAAAACAACAATGCGGGGCGCAGTGACGCAGCCTATGATCCTAGCAGCTCGGTAGGCTGAGACGGGAGGATTGCGAGTTCAAAGCCAGCCTCAGCAAAAATGAGGCACTAAGCATCTCAGTGAGACCCTGTCTCTAAATTAAAAAAATACAAAATAAGGCTGGGGATATGGCTCAGTGGTCAAGTGTCCCTGAGTTCAATCTTCGATACCCCCCACCAATATGAAAATACAAATTAAAAGATTGTTGCCACCTGAATAGAAATGAAAAGGGATATATGTTTCCTCTAGTTATTTAATTTATAGACATAGGGTTGTTCGTAATATTCCTTTACCATTTTTTATGTGTAAAGAGTATATAATAATACTTATTTGCAGGGGGTGTACTGGGGATTGAACTCAGGGGCACTCGACCACTGAGCCACATCCCCAGCCCTATTTTGTATTTTATTTAGAGACAGGGTCTCACTGAGTTGCTTAGCACCTCACTTTTGCTGAGGTTGGCTTTGAACTCACAATCCTCCTATCTCAGCCTCCCGAGCCACTGGGTTTATAGGTAGGCACCATTGTGCCCAGCAATAATACTCATATTTTAGTTCCTTCTTTTTTGTTCTCATCCTCTCCCTTTTCATTCAATTATTCTGTATAGCGGTTTTTATCAGTTTTATAGGCCTTTTCCTGGCACCAGCACTGGTTTTATTAATTTTTTTTCTATACTCTGTTTAATTTTTCCTCCTCTCTTTATTATTCTTCCTTTTACTTACTTTGGATTTAATTGACTCTTTTTCTAGTTTCTCAAAGCAGAAACATAGATTATTCATTTGAGACATTTATGTTCAAAATAATCATTTGATGCTAAAATTTCCTTCCAAGTATTGTCTTAACTGCTGCCCACAAATTTGTACACATTGTGTTCTCAAATCAACTGAAAATATAATTGCTTTCATGACTACTTACACAAGCTGTGGATTATTCAAAAGTRCACTCACTGTTCAATGTCTGACTCTCTAGAGACTCAGCAGATGTGGATGTCATTGATCTCTGACTCCGGTGTGGCTCCACCTAGTGGTCACAGCTTCCAGAGGTTCTGTGCTCTCCTGGGAGAGCACACACAGCCTTTAAACTCTATAGTTTTCACTGAATTCTTTTTTACCTCCTGGTGGTAGCCTCGACTATACCATTCTCAGTGTTGGGTGAGCCAGTAGTCACATTCCATCTCTCCTTGGAAGTGTTTGTCTTCCTGAGATTTTGGGTGGTTGATAACCAATCTCTGATATAGGTTCAAGGACAAGGACAATTGTGACTTTATAAGTTTTTCTGCTTTTTGTTGCTGATAATGCAGGAGAAATGCTCTTTCCAACGTTTTTCATCCTTAAGCAAAGCAGAGTCTCAGTGCCATGTATTTTGAGCTATAATTTGGAGTACTTTGGAGTCGTAGCCTTGTACTCAGAATGGGAGAGGTTATCAGCTTTGCTTGTTAAATGCCTTTTTTTTTTTAAATATTTTTTTAGTTGTAGACGGACACAATACCTTTATTTATTTTATTTATTTTTATGTGGTGCTGAGGATCGAACCCAGTGCCTCATACATGCGAGGCAAGCACTCTGCCTCTGAGCCGCAATCCCAGCCCTTGTTAAATGCCTTTTAAGGCTTCACTGCAAGCAGAATTGCAGTCCCAGCCTTGAACTTCATGGAACGGCCCCTGTTGTTTTGTGTAATGATTTTTTATTTCTTTGACTGCAGTGACGTTTTCAGTCTGCCCCAGATAACAGGAGTGAGATCCCACATGTACTTTGTCCCTTGCCTTCTTTCCTAATTTAAGTTACAAGGACATTTTGTGCCTATGTGGATGGATGGCAGAGGTGGGAGGGGTGCGGGCCTGGGCTTATTCTTCAGAATAATAATACAAACTGCTGCTTAGTAGTAGGGTAGTACATCTATGTGAAAAGCTCAGCTTCAGTCCAACGCCTGCTTGATTGACTGGTCATGGAACTGCCTATAATGAGGTACTTCATTTCAGCCTGGCAAACACTGAATGACAGAGTCCAAGGCAGCCATCTGTTGTACAGGGCTCTGGGCTGGTAATGGACAAGCCATGTGACTGCAGACATCCATTATGAAGACATCTTTTTGTTATTTTCCATTGTGCAATAGTTCGTATAACTTAATGCTTAAATTTTAAAGAAAAAAAGCTAGTTTATGTAAATGATTCCAAGATACTCATTATAAAGAACTTTAGCTAATTTTGGCCAGTATGATCGGATTTTGGGAGGTGGGGAGGGTCACCAGTTTAACTTTATTTTTTTTTTCTTTTTCAGAAAATTCTTCCGGGAGGAAATACATCATTTGATGTAGTTTTTCTTGCAAGAGTAGTAGGAAATGTAGAAAATACTTTATTTATTAACACATCTAATCATGGGGTATTTACTTACCAGGTAAGAACGAGAATTAAAACTTATTTATTTTTATAAATATAATCATCATCGCCAACTTCATATGACAGAACTCACTTCAGAAACTTGAGATAATAGAAATGTAAGAGTTTAGACTTACAGCATTTTTTATATTCACTATGGACATCAGTCTGTGAACAAATAATCTTAAAACTACAGCTAAAGTGTTAATATGAGATTAACAAAAAGTATTTTTATACTGACTCAATTTTTAAAGACTAACACACTTATGAAGCATATTTAATAATAACTTTGAAATTAAAATGTATGTGCCTGCTTTTCTTTAGGAGGTATATTGTTCAAATTTTGATCAATTTATTTTACATAGATTTCTTGTTTGGATTATTAAAGAAAATTCATGTTTATAGGAATCATATAATAAATCTTTTGTAAATCAGCCATTCTGTGTATGAATCAAGATTTTTATATATTAAGATTATGAAGAATTTTTCATTTGTCGACACTATATGAACTTCTGCTTGCATTAGATTTTATTATTCTCATGGTTTTTAGATGAGGAAGTTGAAATTTAGGAAGGTTCAGTGATTGCCCCAGTTATCCTACTTTGCTACTAGGAACTCAAGTGTTTCAGTTCTTACTTACTATGCCTTTTTTTTGTTTTTTTTAAACATTTCCTCTCCAGTCTCCAGAGCACTTCTGTTTTGAAAATAAGAATCAGAGTAAACTTTTCCATTTTAGTGAAGTGCCGTGTTCTGCTTGCTGCCACTGGATAAGCCTTCACGGGTTGTTTCAGAGGCTTTCAGTAAGCAGTAACAGCTGCTTTGTTCAGTCAGTTCCGAGTGCTGTGTAGACGACCCCCGTTTAACATGCACTTGACCGGCAAACATGAAGACAGTGTAAGAGTGGAAGTCGTGGCCCTAGAGGCATCCCCACTGTTTGCAGCCAGTGTGGACTCTCTGAGGGCTGTGGTTAGTCCGGGCCAGCTGTTTTCCATCTTTACCTCTCCACACCTAGTCATTCTCCCAGTCTTCCTCCTGAGTGTCTCCTGAGCCTGTCCACTTCCCTCCTCATGCACCATGAGCACTCTCTGGATTATACTGCAGCCGGCTAACTGCCTCCCCTCCTCCCCAGCCCCATCCCTATCCACAGTTCAGGACCCACTCTGAGCCAGAGGGATGTTTTTAGACCTTTTTTGTTGACATCTAGTCTGTCCCAAAACTAGATTGTAAGTTTCATGAGAGTAGGCACATTATTTATCTTGTTCACTCCTAAATTGATGACTGCTGTGTGTGTGTGCATGCACGCACACGTGTGATCCTGCGCACCACACATCACAGACACTGAATAAGTGTGTGTCATTTGAATAACTGGCTCACCCTGCTTAGTCATCATAGGGCTAAGTTTAACTGTGGTCTGTCTGAAATCTTATGAGTCCCTTTTCTCTTGTTTTTGTGTGTTCCATGAAGGACTGCTGCCATTTCCATTTCCAACATATTATAGTCGTCATTCCAAATGCACATACATTGAGTAAATCAAATATGTAGCCAAATTCAGTTTTTAAAAAGGGTATTATTACTCTTTTATCTACATTAGATTTGTCAGTCTCCTTAGAGATCAAGCAGAATTATAACCATAAAAATGGTAGTTATAAAAGCAGCTCAGAGGGGTTTTTTTCTTCTTCAAAATAGGTATTTGGTGTTGGAGTTCCAAATCCATATCGATTGAGGCCGTTCCTTGGAGCCAGAGTGCCTGTGAATAGCAGTTTCTCACCCATAATAAACATACACAACCCTCACAGTGAGCCTTTACAGGTGAGTTTAGGAAGTGGTTTTAATTAAGCCTCATTTTGGTGAGAATTCTGTAGCATATATTCTGTTAAAACTTTCGGGGTTTTATAAGTGCATTTAAGGGGGTGTTAACTTTAATACAATTGTACTATAGTCTGAATTTTGGAATTCAACAGTTTGGATTTTCAATTTGGGGACCATTTTTAGTAGCTTCTCAGGTGTTGATAGTTCAGGGTGTTCTGTGTTTCATTTGAAAAGTGTTCAACTGTACAGAAAAACTGGGCTCTTTTTGGTTCAGTATAAACTTTTTAAAAAATAGTTTACATTTATTACTCGTGATAATAAATTTTTGGTGATGGCATTTTGGAAATTAAAATCCAGTGAAGGGTAATACAGAATCAATCAAGCAAACTGACTCTTATTTATGAAATTGAACTTCTTATCTTAGCCAGTCTAGAAACCTCCCCTCACCCACTCCCTGTCTCTGTTGCAGCGGGAGTGGCAAGTGTGGCAAGTGTCACTCCTTCAGAGGTTTCCTAAAATCCCCTCCCCACACCAGCGACTTCCACCTAGCTAACACATGTAGCCACTAGAGCTCTGAGTTRTGTTGTCTGTGTTAGAAGGAGATGTGGATGCTTTCCAGAATCGTCCATTATAAATACACCCAGGGCCCAGAGTTCTCGGGACCACATCACAGGACTTAACAGTAGCTTGAAAATGGTAGGAAGAAGAAAAATCATATACTATGTAGCAAGTGCAAGGCTACGATTCTCATCCTCCTCAGTCCCCTGGCATAAATGTTCATAAGAAATGAAGGGGGAATGTGGAGGGACAAAGGGAGATTTTCAGAGCCTGAATAGTGAGACACTTAGGAATTACAAACTGAAGCAACCAAAAGGAAGTCCCTCCCAACACCTGGCTGAGAAGAGCTACTGATAAAAGTCCATTGCCCCGGTTTTAATTTCTTTAGATATCTCCATCACAAAGGAGGGAAATGCTCTGCTTTCTGCTTTTGCAAATCAAAGTGTTGCTGTCTTCATCATCAATCTGTCATTTAGACACTTTGCTACTTTAGGGCACAGTGAATTTTCGCTGTTCTGCTAACTTTTATCACAGATGTATACAGAAGCCCCAGTTGGCTGCTTTCTTTTCTTTATTTTTTTCAATGAAATAAAACCATGTCTCGCAGACCCTGATGCGTGAGTCACCCCACCCTGCTGTGGAAAAAGTGTAACAGAGCACCCAGGGTGCCCTCTTTGGTTGGCAGGCTACAGACCCAGAAGCTGATTGTCACACAGAAGGATGGAGCTCGTAGGACTCGACGGTGTTGGTCATCTCCAGTTGTTTAAATAGCCTGGGGTCTGTACCTTTTCCCCTCAGCCTTTGGAGTTACCCACCTGTCATCTAGAACAGCTACTACTTTGAATTCATTTCCTCTAGTCTTTTCAGGATTTACCACAGTGGCCGTTTCACCAGCACACAGGAGAGGAAGAGAAATTAAAGTTGCCTTCTTGGACCCCAAGAGTCCTGTAATAGGTAGTGCTGTGTCGGTGGACTTGCCTTCAGATTTAAGAAAATATTGTACAGCAAGAAAATGCATTCAGTTATTTTATTATACACAAACACATGTGATCTGCCTGATACCAAAGCATGCAGCAGTTATACCAGTGAAGCAGAGGTCCCCTTAAATGCCCTACTTTCCAACAGAACTTTGATGACAAAAAAATTCTGCATCTACTTTGTCCAGGACAATAGCCACTATCCTCATGTGGCTGTGGTCGCTGAAGAACTAAACATTTAATTTCATTGTGTTCCAGTTTTTAAATGTAAAGGAGCACATGTGGCTGGTCTCTGTCATATGGACGACACAGCTGCAGTCTCGGCCCCTCCTCAGAGACCCCACTGAGATCTGCATGATGTCTTTCACACCTTTTTCTGTGCATTTGCAGGCACATGTGGGCACACAGATATACTTTTTTACATAAATTATATTCTGACTATGTTGTTTGTCCACCTTTTCTTCTAAACTCTACTAAATTAGGACAAATAGTACTAGATGAAAATCACAGACTGTCACCAGTTCCTGGTTTTAATGCGATTTTCCTTTGGTTTTGTAATTCAGAGTTTTTCAGTCTCCATTTCCTACTCATCTTCCCTATCATCAGTAGCAATCTTGTTTCCAAACATTATTATGCTTCTTTCCTTGTTACCTTGAAAGATTAAATGAACTATTGTGTGATGTTTTCTGGCTTTTCAGAAGAAAATCTGCAGTTCCCACAGCAGTCGGGGTGTTGCTATAGTCGACACAGTCTGTGCTCCAGGAGAGCACTTGGAGGGGGTCAGCAGATGAGTTACAGTCAGGAAATCTTAGCCCTTCAGTCTTTGCAAAAGGCAATACTTTTATAGCAATATRCACCACAAGAAGAAAAAAACAACAAAAATATCCAAGCTTGTACTCAGTATTACAGCTCCCCTGGTTTTGTCCTTTGTATTCACTTCTGGGGACTTTTTGTGATGAAACAAGTGGAAGTTTCCCTTCTACATCACCCCAGATTTAGTTAAGTTGATGAAATGTATTCCTTCTTTCAAAGAGCTAGGGTTACCTGCCTTTATAGGAAAGTCTCCTGACGTCTGACCTGTTCTGTGGCACTAACCCCAAAGAAGGGAAAGCAGGTCTCCACACCAAGGCTTTTGTACTTGGTGTCAAGGCAGCTTTATCCTCATAGCTGCACACTGGAGAAACCAGTGAATGCATAGAAACTGCAAAATAGCCATAAAAATAGAAACAAAACAACCTATTAATACATACAAAATGGTGTATCTCAAGATAATTACACTGAATTAAAGAAGCCAGACGAGTGCATACTGTTTATCCCCTTTATATAAATTTTAGAAAATGCAAGCTAATCTACACTGACACAGAGAGGTCCGTGATTTCTGGGAAATAGGAAGGGGCAGAAAAGGAGTATAGTTTGCAGAGGGCATAAGGTGGGGGCAGTGGATCTACTTGGTATCTTAATTGCAGTGAGACGGCTGCATGCCTACAAACATATGTCAGAATTCCTCAGTTGTATGCTTAAATGTGGATTATTTTTTGTGTATCAGTGATAACCTTAGGCCTTTTCTAAAAAATTGTAAGTGTAAGCACAAGTCACAGAGCTATTAGGACCTGTTAATTTGTTACCAGTAGAAGCCAGATACGTTTTATGTTTTGTGGTTTTGTTTTGACTTGTAGTGATTGTATGTATCTTGAGGTATGTACACTGTGACATTTCAGTACATATATACAAAGTGTAATGACCAGCTCAGGGTCACTGGCTTATCTCTCACATCAGAAATTATCATTTATTTGTGTTGGAAACTTTTGAAATCCTTTTAACCAGCTACTCTGAATAGACAGTTCATCACTGTCAAGCATAGGTACTCCACTGAGCCACAGAACATGAGGAGTTCTTCCTCCTGTTCAGCCAGGCCCTTGTCCTGGTTAACCTCTGTCCCTTCCCCAGAAACCAGGTGTTTCCATACTGTACTAGGTTGGTTTCATATCTCTGGCTAATTATTTCTTCACTCTGTCATGGTTGTAGTTATTGGATAAGCTGCTATCTCTTGATATCTGTGTATTATTAAAGAAACATATGTTTCTACAAGAAATACGAAACAGGTATTTCTAAGACTTGAAAATGATTTCCTCAAATTATTTTATGTGAAAAAGAATTGTTCTGTTGCTTTTTAACCTAGTCCCTGAACCAGCTTCACTGTTTCTAAGTTTAATTTTCAATTACCTTGTTTTAATTAACAGTACCACCATTGGTTATGCATATGAGGCACTGAATTGAGTGATAAGATGTGGTATCCTACATTTATATCAGGACACACTTTTTCAGATAAACAGTTATGATACCAATCTTACTTCTGAAACAGCAAGTCACTCGGGTTGAGAATGTGATTTTTGACACTAACCAGCATGTGGTCCTCTGTCCCAGGTGGTAGAGATGTACTCAAGTGGAGGAGACCTTCACCTGGAGCTTCCAACCGGGCAACAGGGAGGAACCAGGAAGCTGTGGGTGAGTGGAAGCCAGTTGTTTCTTAAATACAATGGAGAGTTGGAAAATACCTAACTCTTCGTTGCCTGAAGAAATACAGGGGACTTTTCTTTAATGTCTTGAAACATTAAATGTATATTAGATATATTTGAAAGTTGAATGAAAGAATGAGGGGAAAATATAAATTGTACTTTAAAAAATCAGTGAACAAAGCCGGCCAGAGCCTTAGCCCCGCTGTGTGGAACGAAAGCAGTTTCTCAGCACTGCATTGGAAACGTTGCCTCTGAACCTGGTCATTGATGATATGCTTTATGCAAAGTTTTCTTTGGGCGGGAAGCAAACAGTGGGAAAGATTCATTGTATTTCTGAAGGTAGAGAATTTAACATTCAGTCTCACTGTTGCTAGAGGAGATGGCATTTGCAGAGAGAACTTTAGTTCATTCTCTGGGATAACAAAGGACATTTTAAATTCTTGGATGATCTCCATCTACCTTCAGTGTCACTGAATATTTAATACCAGTTTATTTCCATGTTTAGAGAATCACTTTCTCTTGACAAATATTAGCCACATTAAAGAATATCCAGGAACTACCTTCTTTGAAAAGTTTTTTGCCAAATGAGAGTTTTTGTAAATGTTGTCCACCATGCTGAAATCCAAGAGGGAAAAGACCATTGTGGTAAATGCAGTTTTGGTACCAAGGTCAGTCAAGTCTTTCTTTACTTGTGATTAGAGATACACTGACTTTATCACTGTGAATAAGCTCTGAAGCTCAAAGTTTCTTCCTGCCCCCCCCCCACGCACATTCATGAAAGGCTCCTCCATTCTCTCTTCTAACCAGAGTCAATCAGGGAAGAGATGTACAGGTGATAGTTTTGGAAAGTTGACTTGAAAATTTAGAAACAGTTTTGTCAACAGGGGACACTGGAGTCTGAAGCAGGAGGATCGAAAGTCCAAGATCAGCCTGGTCAACTTAGCAAGATTCTGTCTCAAAATGGGGCATAGCTAAGGATGTAGCCAAGTGGTAGAGCATCCCTAGACTGTGCATTTGCTTGGGAACCTTTATTCTGTTCTGTTAGGCTTTAAATGAAAGCAAATGTAAGCCCTCTTGGTTATCTGTAGAGATTACTATGTTCTTCTAGAAAAATATTTTCCCTCTGGTGGTGACATTTCTGTTGGGCTAGAGAACTTAGTCATGAAACCTCACCACTGCTAACATGACCCAGTAACTGATTTGTAGGTCAGCTCTGCCCTTTAGTGGTGACTTTGCAACTTTAAATTCTTTTCAGATCATTTGACTCTTACTTTTCTCACTTTACATCCCATATTTTGTGAGTTCTAAGTGTTATTTTTGTGTTGTTGTTGTTTTTTTTTCCACATTCTAACATTCTCCACAATTGAAGCCCATGTTACAACTAGTGCGACGTGTTCATGAGAAATGTAAGGGTTTTATTTTGGTGATGCTAGACGTTGAACCCAGGGGCTTATATCCCCAACCCTTTTAAAATTTTTATTTTGAGACAGTATCTCACTTTATTGTCTAGGCTGGCCTCAAACCTGCAATCTAAGAAGCTGGGATAACCAGTGGGGACCACTGCAGTAAAACTCGCTTTATCTATTTTAATGTTTGTTGCAAAGCTGAGGATTGAACCCAGGACCTTGCCCCTGCTAGGCAAGAGCTGTACCCCTGAGCTGAATGCCCAGCTCTAGTAGCATATTTAATTGTCAGTGTATTTTTTTCTTAGTAGATACATAAAATATTAATGCATCCTTCAGTCAATGTGATCTAAATCAGTAAAACAAGGTAGGTTTGCGACATTTCAAATACTGTGCTCTCTGCTTATCAGGAAATTCCTCCTTATGAAACCAAAGGAGTAATGAGAGCCAGTTTTTCATCCAGAGAAGCAGATAATCACACAGCCTTCATCAGAATAAAGACCAATGCCTCTGACAGCACAGAGTTTATCATTCTTCCCGTGGAGGTTGAAGTTACAACAGGTTAGTGGAAAACAGAAAAATGGCATGTTCATTTGTTTTCTTTTTGGTACATCTTACTCTGGCAAAGTGAAAGGTAATTGTTTATTTATTTTTTTTTCCCAAGCTCCTGGAATTTATTCCTCAACTGAAATGTTAGATTTTGGTACACTACGAACACAAGGTAAAATAATAATAATAATAATTYCTGAATGGGATTTAGTGCCTAATGGCTGTTCTGTACTTTGTAATTCAGGTTTGAAAGTTACTTACCACTGAGTTGAGTGGTCTTGTTAAAAAAAAAAAAAAAAAAAATCTCCTTTTGGGGACTCATAGCATTCACAAGTTTCATCTCATTCCTCTTGAGGGTAGCAGTCAGTGCTCACCAGTGGGAGAGCTAGGCATCGCCTGCTGCAACCTCCGGATGGAAGATGGGTCTTAACCTGCTGCCTCACCCATGGCGTTATGCTGATTTTTTTTTTCCTAATACTAAAATAAAGGAAGCCAAAAGATTTTTCTTCTGTATATTTGGTTAAATATGAATTATTCAGTCTCATTGTAGTGACATAATGTTAAAAATTTATCCAGTATGGTCAGAGAAAGACTTCAAATTTTAAAATTGAAAACAACCAAATAAATTTTTTTATTAAGAAAAAAGAAGACTACTTGTAATTGGTGATTTATTTGAATCATGTGTAATTAAAATTTAGTTATTTAAGATTGAAGACCACATTTTTGAAAATTAGAGTTGCTTTTAATGTGATAATTTCCCATTGTACATTACTAATTTGCTTCATTATGCTTTGCTGGAAAACCAAAAATTATTAGTATCTGAATCTAATCAAAATTGTGTTCTAGATTTTGTTTTGTTTTGTTTTGTTTTGCTTTTTTGTCTGGTTGTTTAAGAGGGGGCAGTTCTTGTAACACACAGGTCCATATGATGATTGTTTTATTAACACGATTATCATTATAGTTCATATTCTAAAAGAGCTTTAGTTTGATGTCTTATATGGTAAGGATTCTTAACTTGCTCTGAAGCACACTGTTTCTTTTCTTTTTAACAGATCTACCAAAAGTTTTAAATCTTCATTTATTAAATTCAGGAACAAAAGATGTACCAATAACTGTAAGTTTTTACTTCTTAGTTTATGTTTTCTTTGTTTTAAACACCTGACAGGGTTAAGCATAATTAAGTCCCTGCTCAAAAGAATCCTCTTTTGTGGTGGCTGGTGACTGGTAGAAAGCTGGTCTGCCTCTGATGCCCCAGGCCGGAAGGAGGCCGGGAAGGTGGAAGGTGGCCATCTTGTCCAAGCTGGGCTCCCCAGGCTCCTGTTCAGGCAGAACTGTAGAAAAGGCCTGTGGACTGAAATCCTGGATCTGTGTTCGTGTGGAAGGAAGGCAGGTTGCAAGCATTCCATTAGTTTTGGTTGTTGGGCTTGAGATCTGGGGGAGTAACTAGGGGCAGGGGGGATTCAGGTTAGTAGGAAAGAGCAATGAAGCAGAGAGGTGATGTAGGTGATGGTAGAGTGCTGTCCACGTCAGTCATAGCCACCCTTCCCAATTCACAGCCATTGCACACCATAAACCAGGGTCCTCTCTTCCCTCCACACACATGCACAGAACAGGTGACTTTTATGCCTTCTAGTGGAATTGGGGTGCATGCCATGGGACAGGTTTAGCCAGAAGAAAACAGGCATCAAATTTTGCTGTAGCTCATGGCCTCTCTCCCTGAGAAGGTCCCCAAGACACATAGGGAATAGTGGAGAAGGAAAGCCAAGCAGTGCTGAAGCTCAAAACCTAAATTCAGGAAACTCTGTTTTAAAAGATTGGTCACGTGGGCTTGATACTTAAGTGACTTTGTCCATCCATGTCAGCCACAGGGTAAGCTGCCACAGTGGAAGCCGAATGCAGAGCTTCTTAAGGATTTTCCTGTTCATTTCCACTTTTTCTATATAATATACCTTGCTCAGAGACTGCATTTTAGAAGGGTTCCTCCTACCTTCTTCCATTTCACAAATATTTACAATTTTTAGGATCAGCTAGACAGTACTTAAATGCTAGGTTTATTTCTGTTCTCATTTAACTCCCCTTAAGGGAATTCTGTCCTTGTTTAAATACTGTAGTCTTTCTAAATATAGGATTATTAATGCAGGTGATTCCAAATATAAGTTCCTCGCCTGTTACTGGACAGGATGCCTGCCCACTTTAAGTTCTCTTAACATCTGTAATAACACCTCTGAAAAAGTGGGTTTCCTCAATATTTCCAAAACATTGATGCTGTCTGAGTGACAGGATAAGTCTGCCTGACATGTCTTTGAAGGAATGTTTGCATGAGGTTTCCTTGCTAATTGGTACACAGAAGTCACAGATTGACTTATTAGTTTTGCCAGTGTCAGCTTGGTATATGCTTTAGTGAGTTTGTGCATAGATTGTTCAAAGCACAGTTGTTGTATACTGAAAGGTTATTATTCTTGTTTGCTCACGTGCTTTTTTTGTAAGTCATTTCAGAATGTCCTGGACTCTTGAGACTCACTTGAGAGTTACTGAGCTTTAATTGGGTCTGAATATCGTGAGAAAAGGCAGAGACTATATTTAGAGCCTGTACAAGCTGCCTCTCCTGGGAATCTTGCCATGTTTTCTCCACTTCTTGATCATCTTTGAGTAAGCAGCAGTTAGTGACTGACAATAACACAGGTTGTTATTACGAATTTGTGTATTACAAGGGAATGCTTTTGTATTGTTTTTTCACAGTAAGCCACCAGAGTAAACCCACTACTTACAAATTTGGATGTTTTGTTTTGCTTTTTTTTGTTTCCTTAGAAAATAGGTTTTAACTGATTATAGTTTGTTTTTAATGATAATGATAATGAATAAACAATTGAAGCCATTTGTATAAACATGAGTTGCCCTTGAATGCTTATTAGTGTACTCTATTTTAAGGTAATAATAATAATGCACGTAAAATTCACCTCTGTTATGGAAAATCTTAAAATAGTGTGTTTTATGTGAGCAAAACATTTTCATCAACTCTTCCAAGCTTTTCCTACTTACAGTGACTGTGTTTTAGCAAAACCATTACTTAGTTATTTCTGGCATGGTTTTGCACTGTCTGTAACATTCAAAAAGGGCTGTGGGTGTTACTGAACCGATTGCCATTAGAGCATGATAGTTCCACCGCGGTTTCGTGGTCCATAGCCCAGGTGAAGGAATGAGGAGCCAGACCTGCAGGATTCCTCCAGGAACAGCAGAGCTGCTCACCAAGGTCACCTCTAACTAACCTTGACCTCAAATTGGCAAAATTAATTGAATCACAAAGTTTTGTAGATAAGTAAAAAATATTTGCCCCAGCCTCCTTGGCTGTTTGGACATGGGAGGAAGTGGCCTGAGCACATGGCAGTCTCCTCAGGCTGGCGCTTCTGGCACCAGGGGATGGCACGGGGCCTGTCTGCCCCCTTCTCTTGGAAGTGTTAGTGTGGTGGAGTAGCAGAGTGAAGCTTCCTCCCATTTGTAGTTTATCTTACAGTTCAGACTGCTCTGTACCCTCCCAGGAATGAGGAGATTTGTATTTAAAATGGTTGCTAACAACAGCAAACTTATTAATAAATAAAGATATTTTTATGAATGAATCGTTCAACTCCCAGCCCTAGTCTGAGTTTCAGAGGCAAATGAGAAGCCTTCTCAGAGCAGAAGAGGAGAGTTAARATGCCAAGTCCTGGCCAGAAGCTGAGAACTACTGCACAGGCAAGGGCGGAGCCACTCAGGACACCTTGCTACACAAAGTGACATAGGAGCAGTAATCACTGTGGAATCACCTGGATTCCCTGTGGCGGCAGACTGTGGCAAAAGGGACAGGTCTCTTTCTCCACACTCCTTAGATGCTTATTGTGCCTTCAGGGGACTATCCTTTGATGTTCAGGGCAAGCAGACTTCTCCTTAGTAAGTGAGCTGAGAAGGGTGGGCAGGGGCCACGGGAAAGACCTGGTGACCTGCTGGATCTGCCTGCACCTGCAGTTTTCAGGTTCACCTGTGAGTTTCACAAAAAAGAACAGMTTTCTTCCTGATGGCCTTTGACATCAAGTTCATTAAGCCCCTGAGAATTCAGCAAATACCTAGAGCCCAAAGAGGAAGTTTTTCTGTTTTGTTTTGTGTTATGGGGAGGGATGTTTGTTTTGTCATACTAGGGATTGAACCTAGGGCTCTGCACACACTAGGCAAGGTTGTGAAGGAAGAATTTCGATCAAGGCTTGTGTGCAAGACCACCAGGTTCATGAATATGTTTGTGCAACAGGACATCAGGCAAGGGGCCCAGGGCCAGTGAGGAAACTTGATTTGGTTCTGCCCGATGGTGCCCACCTATGGAACGGTCTCTTCATGTGGCAAGGTGCTCTTCATCAGTAAAAAGAGAAGGGGTGGAAAGTTTAAAGTAACTTCCAATTGGAAGACTTTGTGTCAATGAGGATGATCAAAATAACTACTATAAAATCCTCTTAAAATGTGTTTTGCTACTTTAGGTTTAGTTTTTTGAAAAGAAAGGTCTGGTTTTCTAAGTCTCAATATTCCTGTTGTCTGGTAGCTCAGCCCTGCCCCTCAACAGCAGAGGGCCTTAGTCACATGGAGGGCCCTGGAGAGGAAGAGAAGACGCCTGAGCAGTTGGGTGTGCCTTCTGCACACGGCACCAGCTACTCCCTCACGCTCATTCTTCTTTAGATAGTTGGATGTTTCGTTTGTGCCGTGGATTTTCTTAAGAGGGACCCTATCAAAAGTTATTTCTGTGTCACCTCTGATATACAAATTAAGCCTTCATTTGAGAAATAAATACTTTTATAGTTTACATACTCAGACCCAGTGTTTGAGGTTGTCTTCGGATTCTTCCATTTACTCACGTGTCATGCTTTTTTTCTTCAGGTCATCAGATTGTTTCATAAAGATGCTACTGTTACCAGTTTGATCTAATCCATTTAAAGGGTCTGCAGAGGTTAAACCTCAGATTTTGATTCTGCTTTACTTTTCTAGCATATGTTCCAGTATAGAGCAGTGTGTTAGACCAAACTAATACCGTATGTGTTGTTTTTTTTTTCTTACAGAGTGTTCGCCCTACACCACAAAATGATGCCGTAACAGTACATTTTAAACCAATTACATTAAAAGCTTCTGAAAGTAAATACACCAAGGTTGCAAGCATTAGTTTTGATGGTAAGCATTCACTTTTTTCTCTTTAATAATGGTGGTACTTTGATAAACTAGAAAGCATATGTGTTGACATGTTAATATAGAAATCTAGGCTGTTTTAATATGCGGATTTTTAAATGATTGCTTAGGTTGTTTTTTCTTAAATCGTTATGAACTCTCATCTGATTAATTCACAAAAGAAAATGCCATAACTCCATAAAGCTAAGTCAGTATTAGCAATAGAAAAACATTAGCAATTACATTAGGATTGGCATATTTCATAACAGGCTAATCAGGTATATCTATTATATCTTAATTATGATGCCATTTGTTTTTGTCGTTAAGGGATAAGTATTTAAATTTCTGAAACATGTTTAAATTTGAGAGCAAAATGTTCTTTGTAACATTTTTATATGTTAGCTTTTATAAACAAAGCAAATAGTCCTGCTGAAGCTAGGATCAAAGTCTCTATGGTAGAATCATCAAATTAGCTATTATTTCAAACATGGAATATGTTTTGTCATTTGAAATATTAATTCAACCTAGACTTTCACATTTTATAGCATTTTTAAATTCAGTCTTGTCCACTCTACTAGCCATATATTGAGTTTGCTATCACAGAATATTTTAAATAGTGATTTCATGCTGCTGAACTATATTTGTATTTTTTAAGAATTAAAACTCTGGACATAGCTCAGTTGGTAGAGTGCTTGCCTAGCATGCACAAGGTCTAGGTTCAATCCTGGTCTCACACACACACACACACACACACACACACAAAAAAAAAGAAAAAAGAAAAAAAAACTGTGGACAGGGTTTTCTCCCAGGGACCCACGTGAGTGAGAGCCATCAGCTTCAGCCTTGACCTTGGGATGAAGCCACATCTGCTCAGGCCCTGTTGGATGAGAGTAGTTGGTCCGAGGGGTCTCAGGGCCTGGCATGTTCTGCGCAGTGTCTGTGAAAGCACCAGGGCTGATCCTCACCCGCTGAAGGTTCCAGGGAGGATCTGGGGCAAGGACATAGGCTGCACACTCCCGCAAAACTTATCCCTCAGCTCAGTGAGAACCCCAGGGATCCAGATTAAATAGGATCCTAATGTCCATAGCACACGTCAGGAGGCAGCGCCATGGGAGGTGTGGGCGCCTCACTGGCAAGTCTGTGGTAAGTGGTCTTCTGTCTGCAGAGAGAGCCCATCCCTCACCACTGGTGTCTTCATCTGCAGGGACATAGGCTCTGGAGAGAAAAGAGTGGCATGTAGTAATTCTGGAGCCCTGAGAACACAGAGGATCTGCTCTTGTCATAAGCCCAAGGAACAGGGGAGTGCATGCTGGCCACAGTCCTGCCACATGGTTCCCCTCAGTTTGGCTGGCAAGGGGGAAGAGTTCCCTCTCCAGTGCCTTCTTGACCCCCCAGCAGATGTCTGCATTAAATGCAGTGTCCTTAGTGTTGGCTCTTCGGACATCACACACTTAAAGTGTTTCTTCTCTGTTTGGATTTTGCTGTGTTGTTTTTTTGTAGTCCTGGGAATGGAGCTCAGGGTTCCCGTGAGCTAGGCACATGCTGCACCAAGCATCATCCCAGCCCTAAAGTTTCTTAAAGAAATCATGTAAAATAATATACAAAGGGAAAGGATCTTTAAAAACAAATGCCTTTCTTAAAAGTGGTTTTCAATATGATGGGAAAAGACCAGGTCCCAACCCAAAATACTTCTGTGAGACTGCTGTGGAAATCTGTCAGGGAATGTGTTTTATTTAATGTTTAACATTTTCAAAATGAGCATTATATGTGTGACCTCTACAGTGTTCACTTATCAAGTATCTTGCTCATCAAAAGTCACTTTTAGGGCCCGGCATAGTGGTGTACGCCTGTAATACCAGTGGCACAGGAGGCAGAGGCAGGAGGATCCTGAGTTCAGAACCAGCCTTAGCAATTTAGTGAGGCGCTGAGCAACTTACTGAGACCCTACCTCTAATAAAATACAAATTAGGGCTGGGSATGGGGCTCAGTGGTCAAGTGCTCCTGGGTTCCATCCTCAGTACCCCAAAAAAAGTCACTCATAGGATTTTCTAACTGAATTTTCTTGAGATTTTTGACCATTTATAATGACATGACACTCTGAAATGCCTAATAGCCCTTGTAATCAGCCTTATATCTGAACAAATAGTGAAAATTTTAAAACATCCCAAAGTGCTCACCTAGCAAACAGAAAGCAGTAAGAGGCTTAATGGAAATTTAAAAAATCTAGAGTCACCATCCATCAAATACCCCTTCTTTGTTCTTTATTTTGTCTGAAGTTGATGACACATTGCCACACTCATAGACAGACACATTCTTCTCATGGTGGAAGTGTGCCTGGAAGACTTTAAAGGGCAGAAGGTTAAACATCAGATGCTTTGTATGCTTTGAAAGAAACATCTTTGGGTACCCACATTGGGTCCACTGTCTAATTCCAGGTCGAACTATTCCAAACTGCCACAGAACCTACAGATATCACTTCATCAATGAGGAGAATGTGACCCATGGGAGAGTGTTTGTCTCCACTTCTGCTCCTCGAGGGCTGGCTGATGCAGGGAGTCAGAGCTCTCCTCTTGACCTTTGCTTGCACCCCCGCTGCTTAGTTGGTTTTTATAGCAGGACTCTGGCCGCACGGGTTCTGCCCATTCTCTCTTAGAATAGCTGTAAACCAGCAGTTCTTAGTAGGTGACTCTTGGCGACACCTAGAGACATTTTGGGTTGTCTCTGCTGAAGGGGTGCAACTGACATCCAGCAGGTAGAGGCCCTGCATGCCGATGGACATCCTTCAGAGCACCAGGCAGCACCACAGCAAAGAGCAAGAATGATCCCAGTGCGGCGCCTGAGAGGCACTGCCCTGGGAGGAGGGCCAGGCCTGTGGCTGCAGAGAAGTGGCACAGACCGCGCTTTTCCACGGTAGCATGTTCACTTGCTAATTCCTCATCCCCTTAGCTCATTACCAGAAAAAAGAGAACAAGAACATTTTCCCTGTTTTATTTGAAAAAAAAATAAATGTGATTGTTTAAACGGATTCTGTTTGGCAATTTGAAAGCTCACTTTTTTCCTCCCCAGTTTGTCAGTCTACAAAAAATCGCTCATACTCTGATAGTTAAGAGGTGACATATTATTTCTTATGCTTCCTTTTAGCTTCAAGGGCAAAAAAACCATCTCAGTTTTCTGGGAAAATAACTGTTAAAGCAAAGGAAAAGAGTTATTCTAAACTTGAAATACCATATCAAGCAGAAGTTTTAGATGGGTGAGTATCTAGAGTTTCTCTAAACTTGAAATACTGTATCAAACAGAAGTTCTAGATGGTTGGGTTTCTCTTAAAAATAAGCTTTATAACTTGTTGCTAATCAGCACATTCTGTTTTCCTACTAAGTAACCTTAGCAAAAATCATACCCAGATTCTTTGTTGAAAAGAACAACTTCAGCTATAAAGGAGAACCTTCTATATTTTATTTATTACTTTCTTAGAAGAAAAAGGTAAGTGGGATAATGTGGTTTTGTTCAGAGGAAGGTTCAGTGATGCAAACATGAATCTGTGGGGTTTTTTCAATGTTTAAATTATTTGAACCACAGTCCTGTCATTCCTTTTGTAACATATTACAGAAGTGTTATAGTACTTGAAGCAATCATTTATGTTCCTTTATGAACTCATAAGTGCTTCTAGAACTGTAACCTTTTATAAATGGACAGTAACATGTAATTCATTTTCTTACTAACTGCAACCAAGTTCAATATACAACTTATAGTTGTTCATTTTAACAAAGCTGATTGCAATTTCAGTGATAAACATGATTTTTTTCAAAGTTAGATTAAAGCCTTTTGGTACATTTTTGATTCTTACTGTTTGATTGATATGATTCATTAAAGAATAGTTCTTTTTATTACATTTCAATATTTTGCAAGCCAATTTGTTTTAAATCATGTGGTGAGTCATTAAATAACATGTGGTCCTTAATACTAAATGTAAATTACTACCCACAACAAACGAACTTAGATTTTAAATTAACACATGGAAATGAAAATGATTTATTTTGTTTCTGTTTTCTTCACATAGCTATTTGGGATTTGATCATGCTGCAACGTTATTTCACATCCGAGACAGTCCTGCTGACCCTGTGGAGAGGCCAGTCTACCTTACTAACACTTTCAGTTTTGCGATCCTCATACATGATGTGCTGCTGCCAGAAGAAGCCAAAACAATGTTTAAAGTACGTCCAGGACTCTTCAGGCTTTTATCTTGCTGCTCTGCCAACTAGATGATTCTAACACTTCTGTTTTTTTCCTCTTCCCTCATTTCCTAGGTTCACAACTTCAGCAAACCAGTCTTAATTCTTCCTAATGAATCAGGATACATTTTTACCCTGGTTTTTATGCCATCCACATCATCCATGCACATAGATAACAACATTTTACTTATTACCAATGCTTCTAAATTTCATTTACCTGTGCGGGTTTACACAGGCTTTTTAGATGTAAGTATGTTATTGACCTTTAAAATATAAACTTCCCAGCTGTCTTTTGTGTTTTCAGATCTCATTAGGCATTTGTGTTGCATTCTCTTAGGTTTTGCTATTATCTGTGCTTTGTAATTCCTTCCTAGTCAGTATAGAACAGTACAGTATGAGGAGTCTCCTCTGCCTTTATCCATGGAGGATGTGTTCCAAGACCCTCGGGGAATGCATGAAGCCAAGGATGGCATTGAATCCCATATTGTCATCCTTCAGTATCTGATGGGGGAGTTGTCCCAGAATCCCTTGAAGATAACAAAATTCACAGATGCTAAAGTCCCTCATGTAAAATGGCATAGTACTTGTGCAAAACCCGTGAAGTCCCTGGGTGTGAAACCCATAAACTGGGAGAGCCGTTGTGTATGCTGAGTTTTCTTACGTATATACACACACACAAACACACATGCACGTGGATACATTTAATTTATAGATTAGATACAGTTAAAAGAGAGTGACAAGAATAACAAATAGTAAAATAGAATTTTTAAAACAATATGCTGTGATTAAAAGCAATATTTTGACATTTCAGATACACCAGCTTCTCCTGATGTATCTGAAATGCTGCCATCACTGTTGTTGTCACCACCCTTGCACTTGGGTCTCTAAGTACAGTAAGGTCCTTGAAAACAGTCAGTGTAACACCAAAACAGTTGATTTAATAACCAGGACAGCAAAGTGACTAATAGACAGATCACATATACAGCATGGATACGCTGGACAGAGGGATCGCTCACACCCAGACAAGCCAGCACAGGATTTCATCGCACTACTTAGAATGGTACATAGTTGAAAACTTAGAAATTGTTTCTTTCTGGAATTTTTTAAGAAATATTTTTGGATTACAGTTGACTACTCTCTCCCCATAATATAGTTGATTCCTCTAGTCATAATGTCAACTTATATCTTTTCTGCATGCTGCTTTCTCTCAATTTTGCTTTTAAATCATTGTAATGGTAGGGATTCTAAAAAGGAACTAAATGGAAGAAAAATACTAGGTAGGAAACAATAGTACAAGAAGGGCCAAGAGGTACGTTTGTAGGGAAAAGATGACTAAAGTCAGGAAATACCAAGACAAAGGAAAGAACAAGAGAGTAAAGAAAATAAGTTGGTGAAGGCATAGCATCAGGAGAGCAGTGGAATAAAACAGAAGGACAGAACAGAGCTCTTCCAACACAGGAAACAGAACAAAAAAAATCAAAGCTGTCTGGGCATAAGCAAGGAAAGAAAGAAGTCTAGATAAGAGGTGACACTGTTAGGAAAGATACAAACAAAGGGGATCGTCCAGCAGCCTGTCCTCCCAGAAGTCAGTGGCCTCTGGGAGGACAGGCTGCTGGATGTTCCCCCTTTGTTTGAATATGATTCCTTCAGTGACTGTTGGAATGATTACCTACTTGTAGTCACAGTGCCTACTGAGACCACAGACTTTTGCCTCGTCCCCAGGGGCTGCACTTGACCTCTCCTGGCCCTTGAGTTTCTGTATGTATATGTAGACACTGTAGTATGTCTTATACAGTCACTTCCTGTTGGTAACATTCTGTCACATAATTGTGGTTTTGTGTTTAATCCAGTTTTTTAATTATTTTCCAGTACTTTGTATTGCCCCCCAAAATAGAAGAACGCTTCATAGATTTTGGAGTTCTGAGTGCTACAGAAGCAAGTAATATTTTATTTGCAATTATAAACAGCAATCCAATTGAGGTAAAAAAAAATTGTCTTTATTCTAATTCAGATTTAAGGATTTTATGCTTATGTTGAAATAATCACTTTCGTATTTTCTTTTTTAAGCTGGCTATAAAAAGTTGGCATATCATAGGAGATGGTTTGTCCATAGAACTTGTAGCTACAGAAAGAGGCAATAGAACTACAATAATTTCAAACCTTCCAGAGTTGGAAAAATCCTCTTTATCAGACCAGTCATCAGTAAGTAAGCCTTCTTCTTATTTCCTTAAACTAAAGTGGATGTCTAAACCACAGATAAAGACCATTGCCATGTCACATACCTCAACTAATAATTTTAGCATTGGTTATTTGACATTGAAAGGCCCTGGTAGGTAATCTGCTTCAGCCCTTCCCTGTTCTGATTAGGGCACTGAATCCCAAAGGGGTTGAGCTCTACCTTRTCATACAAACTTGTAGAGCAAGCAAAATTCATCTTTCTATAACACAGGTGTCATTACAGAAGACATCCTCATGGGTTCTAAACTAACCCTTTGTCAAATTTACTGGGGGAGAGCCCCAAATGTTGAAAGAGGTATCTTCAATTAGCAGTGTTTCTGCCCAGACTAGAAGGGAGTAGCTGTGAGGCAGACATTGTTTGGTCCCTCTGAGAATCTTCCCTTGACTTTTTTTCTGCATCATAAGCATGTGCAGCTCTAAACAAGAAAACCAGTCTCACCCTCACCACTGCTGAAAAGGGGACCTGGAGTTTGTGCCTATTGATAAAAGAATCAGTAGAATCACCTTCTGTGAGAAGGAGCCTCAGGTACTTTATGTGCAGGCTGGAATAGAAGTTCTTGGGGCACTTTTACAAAAGGAAAGTTTAATGTTCTTATGCACAGAGTTGTTGACGCACTTCCCTGGGATGCCTTGGGTTTGGTGTTGATATGACCCAGTCTCAGCAGCTGTGAAGACATTGCAGAGCTGCATTCAGAACCTGAATCTGAATCCACCTCTGCCCTTCACTAATGTGATGGAAGGGCTCGTGGAAGGCTGGGTCCCTCTGCTCCGGCCCTCACTCCCTCTGGCCATAAAGGAACAGAGGTGCTGAAGGAGGAACTCTGAGCAGAAGGACCACACCCGCCCTGGGTGGCAGCCGTGTCCTCAGTGGCCCATGCAGTAAATGTGGTAGATGGACGTTAAAGGATGGGCGTTATTGTGGGGTGTTGTACAGGGTGGTCTGGCCGTCCAGTGTGACTGGTGTGTGTGAGGACTAGAGGTCAGCTGATTCCCCACAGCTTCCTGTCCACTTCCATAGAAACTTGAATTTGTAGGGCTAATGAGTGATGTCATTTTTACTACATGCAGGTAATATTAGCCTCAGGCTATTTTGCAGTCTTCAGAGTCAAACTTACTGCAAAAAAACTGGAAGGGATTCAYGATGGAGCCATACAGATCACAACAGACTATGAGGTAAGGGTTTTGTGGGGGGTCGTGGCAGTGGGGATTCTCTGAATAATCCAGTCCCTTTTTATTTTCTTTGTTTATTTTTAACTCATGTAAAAAATATATTTATGAGACTTTATTTTTATAGAAACAGAGAACTAAATTTTACTCATAGAGTTTTATCAGTTTTGTGTCTATAAAACTGAGCTTTTATACACACGACTGCCACCCAGGGCGGGTGTGGTCCTCTCGCTCAGAGCTCTTCCTTCAGCACCTCTGTTCCTATGTGGCCAGAGCTGGTGAGGGCTGGAGCAGAGGGACCCAGGCTTGCAGCAACCTTCTCAAAAACGGAGCTTTTCAGAATTATCTRTAGAAGATTGATTTATTTGCTCCTAGTTTTCTAATGAAACCCAACGCTCATAACCAAAAAAGAAACTTTAGAAAAGTGTCCTTGACACCTGCAGAGTCGCTGATAGAGCCCAGCTTATGGTGGCACAGGCACTGCCCCCAAGCCTACCAGACCCCTGAGCTGGAGAGTACCATTTCCTGCTGCAGTCATAAATCTCTTCCTGTGTGATCTTCTCAAAACGGAGGGTAAAGTCAGGAAATATGTCTTCATTTGATTCCTCACATTAATATGTACAGGAGTCCTTCTCAGGCAGGAGACAAAAAGATGACTGGATTTTTAAATAAGACTCTTTGTGGGATTTATGTTGCATTCAGTGGAGGCTGGAGTGAATGTATTCCTGCTACACTTAGTTTTATTGTAACACTTAGAAGTTCTTTAGGAAGTCCGACACTGTTAAATCCAACCAGTTGCTACCCTGGTCCTTCTATGTGTTTTGTTTGTTTTTGTTTTTTGTGATGCTGGGGACTGAACCCAGGGCCTTGTGCATGCAAGGCAAGCACTCTACCACTGAGCTATATTCCCAGCCCTTTGTATGTGTTTTTAACACACACAACCCCTGCCTGAGAGAAATCTCATTGCAAAATAAACAGAATATTGCAAAATAAACAGGCTATTTAATAAGTGATTTGCTGGGAATATTTCAAATTAATTACCTCTGAAAGTGAGAAATACATACTTGCCATTCATGGTAGAAATAAGTACATTTCAGAATTAAGAAAATTTTTTGTTATAGGGATGAAAATAAGAATTAACAGTGAATATCTTTGCCCAGCACTGTGGGAAACACTTTCCAGCCACATGGATAGCTGAGGCAGGAGGATTCAAGTTGGAGACCAGCCTAGGGAATACACAGTAACTCACTTGTGATCTGAATGGAGCATGAGTTGGGGTTCTAAACCTAGAATATTCAACTCTTTTTTTTTTTGTACTGAGGATTGAACCCTGGGTGCCCTACCACTGAGCTGCCTTTTAATTTTTATTTTGAGGCAGGGCCTCACTAAGTTGCCCAGGCTGACATCTAACTTGCCACCCTCCTCCTGAGTAGCTGGGATTGCAGGCACACACCACTGCATTCAGTTGATATCTGTTTGTATATACAAAAAGTAGAGAGCCACATAACTCAAACATGCTGGATTTTTATACATGTTACTTTAGGGGTACAATTAGACCTTCCTTTTTACAACTAATAATCTTCAAAATACTTGTATTTTGAAAAATCTGTCTTTATTCCTTCCCCATTGTGTAGTCTTGCTAATTATATTTTCATTGAATTACTGGGTAGTACATGGACATTTATCATATTTTATGGAGATTCAACATTATCCGGGGTTTTAATATTGGTTTTGAGCAGATCATTGCCAGTATAAGTTCCCAGAAGTTTTTTGTTGTTGTTGCCCCCAAAGCAATGCCGTGTTTGTCCAGCTCACCTTGACTTGCATGTGCTCACTGTGCTCTGCCTCTTCACTCCACAGATCCTCACAATTCCTGTGAAGGCCGTGATTGCTGTGGGCTCCCTGACCTGCTTCCCGAAGCAGATGGTTCTTCCTCCGTCCTTCCCAGTAAGACACTTAATTTACAGATTTGTTCTGGCTAATTTTTTTCCTTAGCCTTTACCTCTGTGTTTCTAGGACTCAGCAGTTGTTATAAGGTAAGAATGAACCAGATTCTTTAGAAAAGGAATAAGAAATGGTCCCTTCCTTCAAGAAGTGTTTAATCTATAAAGGGAAGTGGGCTCTCTTCAGGGATGCACGGCAGCGTTCCAAGGTTGCCCTGAGAAAGATGGCGAGGAGAGGCTGACAGAGAAGTGCACGTCTGATCCCCAAGTGCTGTTGCACGTCTGATCCCCAAGTGCTGTGGGACTGGCGTGGAGCGTCCGGCTGGAGTGGACGGGGTGGGAAGATCGTGCACAGGCCAGGCCAGCCTTGCAGAGATGCAGAGGCAGTGCACTCTGTGTGGGTTCAGGCAGTGGTGGGTTGTCCAGCCTAGTGAGGATGGACAGAGAGGATGGAATGACATGTCAGAGCCACAGCATGAGAAGTAGGTGCATTTATGTGCAGGGGAATCCAGAGTTTTGAGTAGAGGCTTAACATGGTCAAAGCTGAACTCTAAAGATTGTCTCTGAGGCAGAAGGAAACGCAGGATGCATGTGGAAGTTACTGTGGAGTGCCTCGGGCCGACCCAGAGCCTGGTTGGGTCCACAGGAAACGGGGTGCAGTGAATGAGGGCTAGGCAGAGGGGGGATGCCCTTTCCTGCCTCTGCCTGGACTGTTCCCGCTCTTCTTCCTTCAAACAACTGCATATCTTCATGAATTGGTTCCATTGTTGTCTCCATCTCCTTTCCAGAGGCTTTCTCCTTCTTAAGCCATGACCTTTCAACTTTAATTTGTGCACTTTTTAAAAAAAAGAAATTATTCTTTTTGGTCATACATGACAGTAGAGTATATTTCGATGTATCATACGTATATGGAGTGTAACTTCCCATTCCTGTGGCTGTATGTGATGTGCAGTTACACCGGTCATGCATTCATATAAGAACATAGGACAGTGTTCTGCTTTTAAAGGTACACTCTTGTTTCAGGAAGGCAGTTACAGATCGGTGCTGAAAAAATGAGGTCAGAATGTCACTAGGCACCATCCAAATAATTGCCAGACTTAATCAATTTAGCTTAATAAGAAATTGGGGGGCTGAGGCTGGCTCAGTAGTAGAGCACTTGCCTAGCACATGCGAGGCGCTGGGTTTGATCCTTAGCAGCACATAAAAATAAATAAACAAAATAAAGGTATAATCAATTTAAAATGTGTAATCAGTTTAAAAAATCATTTCTAACAACATTTTTGGTTTTCTTAATGCTAAAACAAAGGTATGGCCCACCTAGTTTTTATTCACCAGGAAGAATTTCTTCTGATTGCAAAGCCCAACAGAGTTGAAAGTTTCATCACAAATAAGTACAAATGCATAACTATATATCCACATAAGCTGGCCTGTATGAATATGTGTGTGACTGTGCACATGAAGTTGGACATTAGAGACCTACACACTAAAACCTCTATTTCTAAACTGAATCAGTATTATTTTTAGTTACTTTGTTAATTGTGATCATAATGTTTTATGTTTATTTACAGGTTTATAGGCTCAGGATTCCAAAGGCTCTTGAAGATTGTTTGACCCCTCTAGATAACGTTAGTTGTTCTACATGTGATCCTAGAATATTTTGGAATTTTCTCTTTCGTAGGAGACCTCATATTGTGCAGTAAATATTTCATTACCAGTTGGTCCTCCAAAGTGAGACTGACACCTCTAGGAAAGGAATGGGGGTCTGTGTTCCCCAAGACAGGCGCTACTTAAGGTAGATACTGCATGGATGAAGGAACAGAGTGGTGGAGAGGGAACAGGGGCCAGAGGAGGCACTTCAGGCCAGATGGCCGAGCTGTGCCTGCTGTCCTGGTGCAGTCACACAGACAGGGCCGGGCGGGGCCGCTGGAGGAGTGAACCTGGAGAACAGGGAGAAGAGAAAAGGAAATACAGAAGATGGCACAGTCAATTCAGGACATCAGGGCAAGTGTAGAAGTGGCTCTTTCCTATGATGGGAGACGCAGAAGATATCGCAGAATCTCAGCTCTATATACAATGAAACCTAAATTCAAAATTTAGCTCCTTAAAAATATAAATGTTGAATTAACACATTTCAGTTTGGGTCTTAATTAAAACTTCACCTTCCTGTGATTCCACTTTGTACTGACTATACGTTGAATTCTTGACTTAATTATTATTTATCCAAAAGTACCTTGTTCTCTCCTTCAATTACCTTCTCAGTCATTTCCTTAATCTTTGTGTAAATCCCAGGAGACTTAGGTGGTTCAGTGGCAGAGTACTTTGCCTGGCACACATGAGGCCCTAGCACCACAAAAAAAGTAAAAAAGAAAAAAATTAAAATCCCAGAAGAGGATAATTAGTTTAAGGGAGATCATGAAAAGGCCCGCAGGGGAGTAAAGAGAAAGTATCTGTATAAAATAAGGTATCAGTTTAGGGCTGTTCAGCTCAAGCTCTCAAAAGTCTTTAGATGGTCTCAGGACCAAATATTTGCTTGCAATTACAAATTAACATATTACCAGATTCTTTCAATCTCTTTGTCAGAGGAAGGATGGAAACAATACCTGAGTAAAAAAAACATTTCAGAAAATTAGTGCTTAATACTTTATGTTTGGGTAGAATTACCAAGGGGAATTTTTGTCTGTTACCTGTTTGGATGCCCACTGCACCCCTGAGAGACAAGGAGGGCAGTTATCACCAGGGACTAAGGTTCTTCCCACCTCAGCCCACGGACCCTGCCCTCTGGGGTCCTTCTGGTGTGTTTTCTCACTAGCCTGGAAATGAGGAGTATTGGTCCCAGGGTCACCTTCACCCAACTCTTCAACGGCACATTCTTAACTTCTGTAGCCTTTTAATACTAAATGTTTATAAAGTGCATTTGTCATTTTAGAGACTTCCTTAAATGGGTAGGAATCACATGCATCAAAAGATAAAATTCTGTGTTCACCAAAAGAAAGTGTAAGATTGTAATATTCTTATTAAGGATTATTTAAATCATTTTTCACTTAAAATTTGGCACAAAATCATAACAAGAAACTTGCAGCTAGTAAGCATAGTCATTGATTTTTTTTTAGTAATTTAATCTGTGTGCTGCTTTGATAAGATACATCATAACCTATTTTATAAGATAATCTGATTTATCTTTGATAGTTCAAGTAATGCTTTTATTTTATTTTTTTAAGACAGTCTTTTAAGAAAAAACTGTGTTTTTGTCTTGTTTGATTTTATGTTTTAGAATTCAGTTATTTTGGGGCAGCCCTGCCTTGATAGAAACAAGCCTTGCTTAACAAACTGAGAGTGCCTCTCCCTTAAAGCTACCTCGTTTGTAYCTGGTTGGCTGCCTCAGTATGTCAGTTGCGTCTTGAATGTTTTCATGTTAATTCCTTCTACAGACTCCTCCTCTGAAGTGTGTTGGTAAAATGCTGTAGACACAGCAACAAAGTTTTGGGGGGTTTTGGTGGGGCGTTTGTTTTTGTTTTCCTCTCAATTACAAATTTAGAAACTATCAATTGATGAATGTCTTTTGGGCTATGGTTTCCTGGGAATATGCTTGTCAGCTCTAAAGTGTGTGATCTTGGAAAAGTACACCATACACAACTGAGTTTGGGTTTTCTTTTTTTTCATTCTGCAGGGGAAAATAGTTCATCAAAGTTTAAATATTATGAATTCCTTCTCACAGAAGGTAAAGATACAACAAATACGATCTTTGTCAGAAGATGTGCGATTTTACTACAAACGATTACGGGGTAATAGGGAAGACTTGGAGCCAGGGAAAAAGTCAAAGGTTTGGAAACATTACATTTGAGAATTACGCCTGTGACTGTTTTGATATTGTGCCCCTCCATAGGTTGGGGACTCATGGTTCTCATATGCCTCTTTGTAGATTGCAAACATTTATTTTGATCCTGGACTGCAGTGTGGGGACCATTGCTACGTTGGCTTGCCTTTTCTATCCAAATGTAAGTTCCTTGCTCTTCCTCTGCTGCCTTCATCCCCCAAACAGACTCTTTTAATCMAAGCCTCCCTCTTTCAAAGTCCACCCCTGTGTTTGGCATATGGAAGCCTTTCCAGGGAAGTGGACAGGCGGTGCAGTGTGGAGCGAGTCCTCATCACCTGTTTCCCTTGTAGCTGAACCCAAGGTGCAGCCCGGGGTGGCCATGCAGGAGGATGCGTGGGAGGCCGACTGGGATTCCCACCAGATTTTATTCAAAGCCTGGATGGGAATAAAGGAAAGTTCAGGCCACAGGTGAGTGGGGTTGCCACAGATGTACAGCATCTCAGCTGTAAATGCCACTGCATTTTTCTATGAGGTTACTTTACTTTATAGCTAAGAAAATATGCCTGATCTTCAGAAGGTTGTTAGTGAGACATCTTAAATTACCATTGCTCAGAAATGTACACACTATCTTATTTCTCCTTTCTCCTCTGCTGCCTTTATCCCCCAAACAGACTCTTTTAATCAAAGCCTCCCTCTTTCAAAGTCCACCCTTGTGTTTGGCACATGGAAGCCTTTCCAGGGAAGTGGACAGGCGGTGCAGTGTGGAGCTTTCTTAAAATAAAAAAAAAAAAAAAATCTGAAATTGTCATTATGAGGGAGACTACCTTGTTCTCCTTAGACACAGTCATTTGCATAAGAAGAAAAAGTTTTTACCTGCCACTGGCCTGTGAAAGACAAAGAAAAACCCCTACCTTTACWMCCAGGGCAGGAGACCCAGTATGAATTTTATTCCTTGAGACCCAGTGTGTATTTTATTCCTTTCAAAGTGCTGGGCTGTTGGGGAGGGCCCAAGTCAGATAGCTCTCCATTGTGTCTTTGGCAGGTAGAAAATATGCACATGACAGCCAGGTACGGTGGCACATGTCTATAATCCCAGAGACTTGGGAGGCTGAGGCGAGAGGATGAAAAGTTACAGACCAGCCTTGGCAACAGATCTTGTCTCAAAATTTTAAAAAATAAATAAATAGAACTGGGGATATAGCTCAGTAGTAGAGCACCACTGAATTCAATCCCCAGTTCTACAAAAAAGAAAAAAAAATTTAAATATGCTAATGGCAAATTAGTACAGCATCTGAATTCAAAAGCAAAGATATAATTATTTGGTACTATAGAAATCAGATCTTTTCATATACTTGAGAAAAGCATTTGTCTATAATAATAAAATAATGAAAAATGCTCTTCTTAATTGGCTAATTTGAAATATATTTGTCAGAACATAGATATTTCAACTTAAGAGTAATATAAAGTTCTCAAACCATTACCAGTTGAATGTGAGGGTTTGTTTTTCTAAACTACCTGCTGCAAAAAGCTTTTTTAAGTCAAAAGCTGGGGCTGGGGTTGTGGCTCAGCAGTAGAGGGCTCACCTAGCATGTGCAAGGCCTGGGTTCRTTCCTCAGCACCACATAAAAATAAATAAAATAAAGGTAATGTGTCCAACTACAACTAAAAAAATAAATATATAAAAAAAAGAAAGCTAAATTTTTTACTTTAAAATAGTTAAAATGAGTAAAGGAGACTTCTGATAGATGGGCAAGGAGCTCACCAAAGCTGTCCTTTGTAGCCTGTTTCTCCACAGGCTTGTGAAGTGCACAGGGCTTCAGATCTCAACACCAGTTATGAATGAATGACTCACAGTGCTGGCCTGGGCTCAGCAGCCCCAGGGACCTCTCCACGTCACCAGCAAATGCTGGCCTTGCCTGCCATGTGCTCCCTGCTCCTGCCTTTGTGTTCCCTCATCACTGTGTGTTAGAGAATGTCTTCTAGGGTTCTTATGAAGCCTATACTCTTAGCAGTGTCCAACGATACCAGTTTGATAGCATTGGATTTAAATGAGCTCCAGTATTTGGTCCCAGGGTTGTAACCCCAGTTATAATTAGTTCTGGACAGTTGGCTTATAAACACTCATAAGTAGGGAATTATTCAAATGAGGGTCTGAACGTTACTCAGAACCCTCACATTTTTCTTCTTCGACTGACATTTTCATTACACGTGAGGATTTTGTTTGGGTTTATCTCAAGGGCCAAAAGAATCCCATGCCAAGCAATGCACTGCTGTCTCATTAATTCTGCTGAAGATATTCCTAGCACCTGGCTATGGTGTCCAGATCTTTCCCCCAGGCATAGATCCTTTAGGGTTCCATCACATCATATACTACCTTTATGTGCTTGTCTTCTCTATATGTTGTCTAATGCTGTCCAGCTTTTTACTGAATTTATAAGTAAAAAAGATTTTTCAAGCTTTACACAGATTTCACTAACACTATTAGAACTGTTCCTAAGATTTGTCAACCTTTACACGCTCAGTGTAAAGTGCAGATGATCGCTGTATGTCAAAGCAGACATCATTCTGTGGCATTAAAAACTTGGTAAGCCAGTGTGGTAGCGCATGCCTTTAATCCCAGCAGCTCGGGAGGCTGAGGCAGGAGGATCATGAGTTCAAAGTCAGCCTCAGCAAAAGCAAGGTGCTAAGCAATTCAGTGAGACCCTGTCTCTAAATAAAATACAAAATAGGGCTGAAGATGTGGCTCAGTAGTTGAGTGCCCCTGCCTGAGTTCAATCCCCAATACCCCCACCCCTCCAAAAACAAACAACCAAAAAACTTGCTAAAATATAAGAGCAGATAAACCTGTATATTTTGGAGTCATCCAGAACAAATTTTCTCAAGTACACAAGTCTTGTAGAGTTTCTTATATTCAGAAAACTCACATATTTCATTGTGATACAGTGACCTACGAATTGTTTTTCTAGATTGAGTGCTATATTTGAAGTAAATACAGACCTTCAAAAAAATATAATATCAAAAATCACTGCCGAGCTCTCCTGGCCTTCCATACTTAGCTCCCCCCGGCACTTGAAGTTCCCGCTCACCAATACAAACTGCTCTTCAGTAAGTATTCCAGGTGACTTTGAGTTTTATAAACGTGCACTAGCATTGTAAAGTAGTCACTCTTAACCTGAAAACCCAGTTGTGTATTTCTGGAATGGATATTGCAAAGTTTAGCAGTTCAGAGGAGTGTGTGGTGAGAAATTGTGGATGCAGGGTAGAGGGTGCCAGGCCCTGGGCTCTGCCATCAATAGTGACCTACTCACCATGAGAAGGCAGTAAGCTCATCACTGCTATAAGAACTAATAATATAATTTTATTCTTGATGTAGAAACCTTTCATCTAATGTTTCATTGCTTTGTTTAAGGAAGAAGAGATTACGTTAGAAAATCCTGCAGATGTTCCTGTCTATGTTCAGGTTATTCCTCTGGCTTTATATTCCAACCCTTCAGTCTTTGTAGATAAATTAGTCTCAAGGTAAGCATTGCTTTAAATGTCAAATGTTTCTACATGGTATTATATAGAAGTTAACTAAAACTTCATTGCGTCTTTATTCAGATTAATTAAAACTGTATTGTAGCTCGTACTGCTAGAATAGATTTAACTTAGATTCTGGATCTGTAAAGTTGAGAGGGGGTTCTGGGGAAAGGAGTTGATATTGCATTAAGCATCTAGAAAAGCTTTCAGTCTCAGGCAGTGTGAATCTTCCCTCCTGACAAATTTGTGAAGAGAAAGCAGCTAGAACCTTTGAAACATTTTTATTGTAAAAAATGCACAAGATATTAATTACAAGATGCGGCCTTTAACATTTTGGGATCAAGTGTAAACTTTATCCCCAAACCTACTGAAAGATAATTAGCAAATAAAACACAGACTTGATCAGTATTCCACAATCCCCTTAATTATGAAGCTGTTTATGAGGATGTCTTTATACATTTTTTTATTTCAGGTTTAACTTGAGTAAGACAGCAAAGATAGATTTGAGAACACTAGAATTTCAAGTCTACAGAAACACTGTAAGTATCCAGAGGCCTGCTATGGCATAGTGTCAACAGTGCAAATGTGAAAGAAACCTGTGGCCACCTTCCAGTGTAGCTGAAGGGGAGTTACTGAAGAGGTCAGAACAGCCCGATGATTATGTTAAAGGCAGAGAAACTGGAAAGAGTGGGTGGGATTTAGATGAAGGTAAGGCCTACAATGAGCAGAAGGTTCCTTTTCATGAGCATTAAACAACAAACCCCTGAAGGTTTGTCATAGTAGCTACCAGAAGTTCTAAGACTACATATACAGATGAAGCATAATTTATTTTGATTAAGCATCAAAATATTGAGCTTGGTCATTTATATTTTCTTCTGGCTGCTTTCTAATAAGCTTGCAAGCTCCCTGAATTCACGACCTGTGGCTGGCTGTATCTGTGCTTGGCACAGGTATCCACGGCTTTTGCTCAGTAGGTCATCTTGAATAAATAAGCCCACACATAAACCGGCTTGTTCTAGGAACCAGGCTGTTTTTTCTCATCCAGATTGGATGCCCACGAACCACCCTTTGGAAGGCCTTGCTGTGGAGGAAGGCAGCACTGGGGGCCACGGCTCCTGCAGAACTTTTGTCCTTACCATCATCATTCATGACAACTGCGGATTAGGAATTGCTCATTAGCTTTGTCAAATCAGATATCTTGTAGCATAGCTTCACCTTTTAATGGCTGAACCCCTAGACTGATGTTCAGAGAGTCATGTATTCTAGTTTTGGACATTTGTCTTGGAATATTTTTGTACTTTGCTTTTCTCGCCCGTAAAATGTCAGCGTGACCAACTATTATTGGAGGTTATCAAGAAGAATAACCAGAACTTTGTTTCCTCTGCTTTTAAAAGGAGAAAATACACAATAAGAAGTAAATGAGCTAATAGTCATATTTTTAAAAAAAAATTGCATACAAGTAGTATTTGGAAAAACAAATGAATACTCTATAGACCTCAAAAATTTGTTCTAAGGAAATTCTAGGGGAGATCCTGAGAAGAGCTTAGAATAAATTCTGTCCCAGTTTTTTACACTGCTGTGGAATTGTGTTCTCAAAATATTTGGTCTTGCATCTCCCTTATAGTCCTAAAATTATTAAAGAGGCTAGAGAGGTTTCTTTTTCATGAATTACATATTTTAATATTTTATCATATTAGAAATTAAAACTGGGAAATCTTTGGAAGATTGATTTCATTCATTTAAAATAACAAACCTATTCCATTTAACATAGATAACATGAAAATGTTGTCAATGTTAACATTATTTTTAAAAATTTAGTTTGCAAGAAGGGGTTGTTTAACATTTTGCAAATCTCAGTAATGGCTCTCTGATTTAACAAACAAATAGATTCTCATATCTGCTTCATTCAGTGTCATGATGCATGGTTTTGTTGAAGGGTATGATAAAAATATACCTGATCCAGGTGCAGTGGCACATGCCTGTAATCCCAGCAGTTTGTGAAGCTGAGGCAGGAGCCTCACAAGTTCGAGGCCAGCCTCAGCAACCTAGCAAGTCCCTACACAACTTGATGAGACCCTGTCAAAATTTTTTAAAAAGGCTGGGGATATGACTCAGCGATAGCCATGTGTTGCCAGCCCTTCTCTTAGAAGTTGTAAACTTGATCTTAAAAATCAGAAATGTGTCTTTATGTGTGAAGTATGGGTTCTTTAATTTTTTTAAAAAATGTGTCTTAACTATTTATTACTGGCCATCAAAGCGTAATATTTTAGATACTAAATTAAGCTACACTCTTAAAAAGCTTCAAATCAAGTGTTTATGAAGTAGCAACTATGTGCCTAGTTTTCAAAATAAAATTCAAGGAAAGATTGATACGAATTGGCAATATGGTTGCAAATAAAACATTTGCTGCAACCTGAAGCCTCTGCAGTTGGTTCCCATCAAAGGAAGGAGTGACGGCAGTGACCAGGGCAGCACTGCGAGGGTCTGGGGTGCCAATTGTCATTGTGCTTGTTTGCTTTGTGCTGACGCATTCAGCTATTCATCTTAGTTCTGTGTCCTTTTCTATGATGTGTTGTATTTAAGATTAAAGATATCTATATGCGAGAATAAATGCCTCACACAAACATGAGGACTCGGGTGGCCTGGGAGCAAAGCCCATTTTGGGGTTCACACAGAATGTGAAGGCCGTCACTGGCTCCTCATCCCTGATTGCAGCTGACCAGTGCCTAAATTGTGAAGGGCACAGCCATTTGCATGTTTAATCAAATAGTTTGAGGAACTACTGGGCTCTAGACAGGGTAAGGGAAAAACATTTTCCAGAAAATATCGTAATGACTCCTATTTGTTTACCCACTGATTCAAGGCTCATCCACTGCAGAGTTCAACGGGATTTACAGAGGGCCTCTCTCGACATTTAATTTTAAACCTAATTTTAAAACCTGGAGAAAAGAAATCTGTCAAAGTAAAGTTTACTCCAATTCACAACAGAACTGTTTCTTCACTAATCATAGTGAGGTAGGTTCTGTGGTCTGGATATGGATTGATTTTTAGTGTTTACATCAAAGTCCTTATGTTTATCCTTCAGAAATGTGAGTAGTATGTTACTGAAGTATCATGTGTGATTCTTAAGAATAACAAACTTTTGCTTTTCTCTATGTATTTAAAATTTTACACCCTTAAAATTCAGTGTATAAATTTGTATGTCATGGGTTACAACATAACTATAGAAATTGTTGATCAAAAGATTGTGCAGATTTACTGGGAGAAAAAAAATCTGTGATTTTTGTTCTTGTCTAGAAATAACCTGACTGTGATGGATGCTGTGATGGTCCAGGGACAAGGAACAACTGAGAACTTGAGGGTGGCAGGCAAGCTTCCAGGCCCAGGAAGCTCCTTACGCTTCAAAATCACAGAAGCATTGTTAAAAGATTGTACAGACAGTGAGTATTCCCGACAGTGTCGAGGGCACAGATTGCAGCACACACTTTGAACAGCAAATAATTCCAGGAGTAAGGACAGACCCTCCAGTGCACACCTGTGTATAGTGAAAGGTGCTCAAGCCATTGAGGAAGGCCTTCGTCTTACATTCAGTCTTGTTGATTTGGATCTTAAAAGACTTAAAGTATCAATACTCWTTACATACCTTAGATCATTCACTCTTAAGGGTAAAAAGTAAAGTATAATAAAACTTTTGCCATCTAAAATTACATATAAAAGTGGAGTGCTTCCCGACGAGACCTGAGCACTGGCTGGTCTCCTTGGCGTGTGGGATACAGTGGTAGTTCATGAAGAATGTGCTTATCCTTTGCACTGGGAGCCTGTGATAGCAACATTTATCTTCACTTCTGATTTTTTTTCCTTTAGGTTTAAAACTAAGAGAACCAAATTTCACATTGAAAAGAACATTTAAAGTAGAGAATACAGGACAACTTCAAGTCCACGTAGAAACCATTGAAATCAGTGGATACTCATGTGAAGGATATGGCTTTAAAGTTGTTAATTGTCAAGAGTTTGCACTAAGTGCCAATGCCTCAAAGGACATAATCATATTGTAAGTGTTTTCTTATAAGGTGCAGTATAATGAATCACTAACTTCTTACTGTCTTTTTATACTAGAGTCAGATACTGCAAAGAAAGATATTTTTGTATTTATAGATAATAAAAGGTCTTTATCCACAATTATTCATTTGATTTTTTTTCCACTTAATCTTCAGCTAAGGTATTTCTTTATATCTTTGTTTTCAAAGTAGTAAAACTTCCTCTGTATCCCAGGTGAATCAGATAATCTTAGAAACCAACTTCAGAATTATTTAGCATAAGATGCTGGGATGAGTTCAGTGTCCCAGCCGCAGAACAGAGACTTGGACCATACGTGTATAGTTTTAACTTGCAGACTGAGAATGGGCAATCCTTAAAACTTAGAAGACCATTTTAATGCCTGATCAGTAAGAATTGTAGTTTTTTTGTTGTTGTTGTTGTTGTTTTTGGTACCRGGAATTGAACCCAGAGGTTCTTAACCACATCCCCAGCTCTTTTTAAGTTATATTTTGAAACAGGGTCTTGCAAAGTTGCTTAGGGTTGCTGAGGCTGGCTTTGAACTCAGGATCCTCCTGCCTCAGCCTCTTAAGCTGCTGGGATTACAGGCRTGTACCACCGTGCCCAGCTTTGAAGCATATTTTAACAATTAATTGATAACTAACTTGTTATAAACTCTGACCCCTTAATTGAATAATAATTTCAAGCCCTTCTGTGATGCTTACTTAATAAGTGGCTAAATTACTACATGTGAGGCTTAATTCTTGACCAAAAAGTACAATGAGGTAATGAAACACCTATCCTCAAGGTGCGCTCAGGTAACAAAAAATAAGATGATTATGACAGCAAACTGAGCTGCAGGCAATGAGGAACGGTCTCCAGTTCTAGGGTGKGTTTTTGTTTTGTTCAAAGCATTATTGGGAATGCAGCTTAGATAAAGAAGACACACTTCCTGAATTAATGTCTGAGAAGATGGTTATTGTTCTTTTTTTTTACGTAATTCCTCACAGTTATCCACAGAATGCAATTGTTCCTGTTGCTAACCTCCTAAGTACCACCCTTAGATTCTGTGCTGAGCCTTTAGGGTTCATGGGGCTGTTGTCAGCTTGAACTGCTGTGCTCTGTTGTTTTTTAACTCAGCCTCACTGCCATCCTCTGTTTTAGGTTTACTCCTGATTTCACGGCTTCTAGAGTGATTCGTGAACTGAAGTTTGTGACAACCAGTGGCTCTGAGTTTGTATTTGTGTTAAATGCGTCCCTCCCGTACCACATGTTAGCAACCTGTGCAGAGGCCCTCCCCAGGCCCAACTGGGAGCTGGCTCTGTACATCATCATCTCAGGAATAATGAGGTACTGTGTCTTCTTTTGAGGTTGGATTTCATTCATCGATGGACACAACTTATCAGGTCCCTGCTGTGTGCTGGTCACTTTTCTGAGAGCTAGGATGTGCTGCCAGCAAGCACAGCTCTGCCCTTGCCACACTGCCATCCCAGAAGGAGCAGTTAGAGCTCAGCCATCCTCAGTGGCATGTATAAGCATTTACCTTTGAAAGTGGAGAATCAAATTAAGTACCTGTTGATTTCTTTAAAAAAATTCATAATTTGCCAGGAACTTGCTAGATTTGGGCATATATACTTAATTATATGCCTAAGCAACATAAAACTGATTATAAATATTTTTAAGTCCCCAGCATCCCATTTTTTAACAACATATTTCTTTGTATATTTTTGAGAATCAGATATCCTCTCCCAAACTAGTTTACATAGTTACATTGCACAAAGGGGAAAAGATGGCCCAGAGAGTTGTAACTCAGATTTTTTTTTCAATAAAAGAAAAATCATCCTTCAGGTATCCATTCTGATACAAATAATTATTTCCTCCATGTAAAATTTTTTCACTCCATATAAAATTGCCATTTATAAAAATTTGCGTGCACATTTTTATCCATGACCTTTTGGTTTGGGCCTTGCCCATTAAGAATTGCTACCAACAGCTTTGTTTTTATATCATACTACACCATACCAAAAACTGTTTAACAGCTAATTTTTTTCTCTTGCACTAACAAAGAATCCTCCTATCCACCTCCTGTACCCTGCAGCGCACTGTTTCTCTTGGTAATTGGAACAGCCTATTTGGAAGCTCAAGGAATTTGGGAGCCATTTCGACGGCGACTATCCTTTGAGGCCTCAAACCCACCCTTTGATGTGGGAAGGCCATTTGACCTCAGGAGAATCGTTGGTATTTCATCTGAAGGAAAGTATGTCACACACTGGCAATCAATTCTCTAGTGGGCATGGATTTGGCTGATATGATTACAAGAAAAACTAAACAAATGTCTTCCTTTCTGCTTGGGGGGAACAAAACCTTACTTCTAATTACTTAACACYCTGGTTGCCTTTGGTTACTAAGCGTTCATCCCAGAAGCCATGTCTTTATCGCATTGGTTAAGGTTCAGGTACCCTCTGATCACTGACTTTTCACATAAAGTAGAACCTAGAAAGTTGTGGGAATTGTCCCACGCTTGATGTTTTTTTCCCTTGGTTTCTATTTGTGGTGTCTGTTGTGATGGAATAAGTTATTTTAATATTAGATTTTGTAGGTGACTCTTTGCTGATCTGCAGTGGTCCTTTTTGCAGCTTGAATACACTCAGCTGTGACCCCAGTCACAGTAGGGGGTTCTGTGGAGCAGGAGGCTCGTCATCACGGCCTGGTGCAGGGAATCACAAGCAGTGTGGCTCGTCAATGCACCCACACGGCAGCCACAGCAACAGAAACTCAGCTGACGTGGAAAACGTCAGAGCCAAAAGCAATTCAAGTACCTCGAGCAGGACTTCTGCACAAGCAGCCTCCTCACAGTCGGCAAGCAAGACAAGCCCCCTTGTCTTCGAGGCACACGCAGCGCCCCAGGGTCACACAGCGGGCAGAAGGTCCAAAGGGGCAAAGCAGAACCAGCACAGTGGGCAGCACCACGGCCACAGCCCCCTGGAGCAGCATGCGCAGCCTCCAGCACCACCAGTGCCTCAGCACCAGGAGCCGCAGCCCGAGCGGCTGTCTCCCGCCCCCCTCGCACACCCCACCCACCCAGAACGTGCCAGCAGCACAAGGCACAGCTCGGAGGACTCGGACATCACCAGTCTCATAGAAGCCATGGACAAAGACTTCGAGCACCATGACTCCCCACCCCTAGAAGTGTTTACAGAGCAGCCGCCATCACCATTGTCAAAAAGCAAAGGTAATCAGTCATCTGTCCCCACGGTCAGAGGAGCAAGGCATGTGAGGGGAAGCCAGGGCAGTCAGGAGGTATCCTGGTGGGGTCCACATGAGCAGCTCCCCTTGCAGGTGCTCTCTGACTCAGGTTTCTCTCTGGGATGGTGTAAGCTATAACATATCACAGTGCAGATGGAGGTGTCCATTTGTTAAGAAAGATAGCTTTATATAGCTTAGATTCCATCTCAGTCAGAAATTTCTTGAACATCTGCTACTTTCCTTTTCAGCTACCTGTGATTGTTATATTGCTATGATAGATTAATTTTTTTGTTAAAATCATTTAAACACAGTGATAAATGAAGATGATCTGTCTTATAACTCAAAAAATAGGATTTTCACTCTACTTTAGAGCGAGGGTTGGCAAAATCAGCCCATGGGCCAAATTACCATGTTTTTACAAAGTTTTACTGGAATTTAGCCTTAGTCATTGTTTGCATATTATCTGTGGCTGCTTTCTTGCTCTAGCAGCAGAATCGCTGCAGGGACAGTCTGGCCCACACTGCTGAAAACCAACCATCTCGCCTGGCATAGAACAAGTTTGCCAAGCCCTGCTGTAGAGTTCCGCATACTATCTTGGCTGCCTGTTTCAAGGGAACAGATTACCCTGAAACCTAGTGACCTAAACCACCAGAATTTTCTTCTCTTGGTTCCTCTGGGTTAGGAGTCTGAGTGCAGCTAGCTGGGTCCTCTGGCTGTCTCAGCCTTCAATCAAAATGTCGGCCGAGGTTAAAATCACCTTAAGATTCGCCTGAAGTTGCTTCCAGGCTCATGTAGGGGGTTGATGGCAGTATTCACTTATTCCCAGGCACAAGACACTTCTCCCAGTAGGACTAAGGGCCCCGGTTCCTTGCTGGCTATAGCCAGAAGCCTGAGGTGGTTCCTCCAAAGGGCAGCTCAACCAAATGAGAGTCAAAAGGACAGGAAAGGACAAAGGTTAGCAGCTTGGAAGTCGGTGATGTTGGGAGTGACACCCCATCAGTTCTGTAGTTTTTCAGATTATTGGACATGTGGTCCAGCCCATTCTCCAAGAGACAGCCCATACTCATATTGCACCAGGGCAGAAGTACTAGGAGGTGGGATGGAAGCCATCTTGGAAGTTCTCGTGCCACTCAGATGGGGGGGCCAAGCCAGACTCCTACAACCAAAATGAAGAAAACCTATCAGTGACCTCTACTTGTATTTCAACTTTATCCCTTTACAGCATGAACTGTGCATCTTCCTTCCTCTTTGGAGGCAGCCGTGCTAATACTATATTACCCCAACCATATTTAAGTTCCTCCTCACTGGTTCACCAAAGAGTTTTTGCCTTTGTTTGCACAGGAACAGGAACCTTCGTGGCCCTAAGAGGTGGGGAGAAACCTGACATTCAGTGTCTAGGAGTTTTCATTTACAGAACATCTTAGTCCCAGTCATGTGAAGACTGGCTATATTGAAATTCCATGCATTTGTTTTTGTTAAACAGTAAAATGTTCCCTTGAACATTATTAAGTTCTACAGAAATCCTTCCTTCCTTCCTTCCTTCCTTCCTTCCTTCCTTCCTTTATTTTTTTTTTATTAGTGCAAGGAATTGAACCCAGGGATGCTTAACTACTGAATCACATCCTCAGCCTCCCCCCTTTTTTTAATATATACATATTTTTTATTATTTTTTTTTAGTTGTAGGTGGACACAATGCCTACATTTTTATTTATTTATTTTTATGTGGTGTTGAGGATCAAACCCAGTGCCCCGCCTGCACTAGGCAAGCGCTTTACCACTGAGCCACAACCCCAGCCTGATATATTTATTTTTTAGTTGTAATTGGACTCAGTACCTTTTATTTTATTTATTTATTTTTATGTGGTGTTGAGGATCAAACCCAGTGCCCCGCCTGCACTAGGCAAGCGCTTTACCACTGAGCCACAACCCCAGCCTGATATATTTATTTTTTAGTTGTAATTGGACTCAGTACCTTTTATTTTATTTATTTATTTTTATGTGGTGCTGAGGATCAAACACAGGGCCTCCTCGCACGTGCTCAGCGAGCCCTCTACCTCTGAGCCACAACCCCTATTTTTATATTCTATTTAGAGACAGGGTCTTGGTAAGTTGCTTAGGGCCTCGCTAAGTTGCTGAGGCTGACTTTGAACTCAACAGTCCTCCTGCCTCAGAAATCCTTTTTTGATTAACCTCTTATTAACAGAAAGTACATATCTTAACTTTTAAGATGAAAAAAGCAATTGTTCTTTGGCTTTTAGGGTGGTCCCAGAGTACCCTCCAAAGAGCAATCAATCTGCCGATGGAGTGGGGACTGCACCCTCAGGAGGCAGGGGGCCTGCTACTTAATTTCCTTCCCGCTGTTGCTGTTTGGTAAAAAGGAAGGAGTCAGAATATATTTTGTTTTTCCTTCAATAACTGTTTTTATTGAAGTATAAATGTAGAAAACCAGTCTCTAAAATGAACTTTAGGGCTGAGGATGTAGCTTACCCTCAGTAGAACACTAGCCTAGCAGGCACAGGGCCCTGCTTCCATTGCCAGAACTACCCCCCAAAAAATTACCAACTTTGAAAGGTGGACATGGATCTCGGAGTCGCAGAACAGTGTGTGGTGAAACCGTTCTTTCAGCTGGAGAGAACCTTGGTCATTCCTCACAGACTCACCCTGAGCATGTCAYTGTGCTTACTTGGAATGTGCACGTATTCTTTTTAGAAGCAGATCATTCTCCCCACCCCGGATCTCAAACAGAAATTCTTGTAATGTTGAGCCGTTGGGGACATTCAGCAGCCTTCCCTTTCAGTTCACGTGTCGATCTCCCTGATCTTGCCTTCCCTGGCTGACGGCTTGTAGGCCAGCCAGCATTCTCTTCTCCTCTGTCTAGCCGCTGTTTCTGGAGGAAGGTGCCCAGGAATGCCCCCTGTTCACGGTTGGCTGGGCAGGGATGGTCATTACATTCTGTACTTCCTCAGTTTCTCCCACCCGGAACACACAAACTGGACAGAGGCCATTTCTGGATTGAAGGTTGAAATCGGAGAAAGCCCCAAAACCTGGCGAGGTTGGTTCTTGGTGTGTGGTGACTGAAGAATGGTGGCATCTRCAGCCATTCTACTTTCCAGCCTTGGTGATTTGGTGGGTAGCTTTGTCAAGGGCAGGGAGAGGCAAGGTGGTGCAGTGTCTTGAGGCCAGGTCCCACCATCAGGCAGGCCCAGATTCAGCCCTGGCTCTGCCTCTTTCCAGCTGTGTGGCTTTAGAAAAAAATCACCCCTCAGCTGCCACTTGACACCGCAGAATGTAGAGTAGCCTTCACCTGTGCTACAGAGGTAGCTACCACGCAGGTGCCTGTCAGGCAGGACATGGTGCTGCTGTCCCGGGTCTGCTGAGGGGGAGGACGCACCAGGAGGCAGCCAGCCTGCAGGAGAGCAGGTGAAGTCACACGTAGCCAGATGCCCCTCGAGGCCAGCCTGAGCAGGGCAGACTGGCGTCCCATGGAGACTGGCAATTAGGACATTCGTGGCGCAATTTCTGAGAAGTGTTAGGAGCCAGTTAGATCAGGTAACTGGCTTTAATAACTTCAGATTAGACTGTGTATTACAAGCATTTGCTCTTGACCTGTATTTTCTATGTTCTTTAATTCTTTGTGTGTGTGTGAGTGTGTGTGTTCTTTAATTCTTTGTGTATGTTCTTTAATTTTTAACAAAAAAAGAATGCATGTATTATATGGTAGAGTTTTTGCTTTTATCATGTTTTTGTCAGTGTGTTATACGTCCTGCTGGGTCCGTTGTGATGTCATCGTTCCATTTCATTCCCCCTGCTTGCCCTTACTGTCCTTCCCCTCTTCCCTGCTCCCCTCCTCTACTCTATTGGCTCCTTCTGATTGGGATTTTGTGGTGGTTTTCATTGGTACGTCGTAATTGTGCGTGAAAGTGGGGTCGTTGTGATGTGTGCACTGTGCAAAACATGATTTGGTCAATTTCATCCCCTGCCCTCCCTGTCCCCACTCCTCCTGCCCCTGGTCCTTCTTATACTGTGCTGCCCTCCTTGCTCCTTCCTTCCTTCCTTCCTTCCTCCCTCCCTCCCTCCCTCTTCCCTCTCTCCCTCCCTCTCTCTCTCCCTCCCTCCCTCCCTCTTTCCCTCCCTCCCTCCCTCTCTCCCTCCCTCCCTCTCTCTCTAGCTTCTGTACATGAGACCAGACTTTCAACCCTTGATTTCTGAGTCTGGCTCTGCAGAACGTTCTTCAGTTGTGTCCATCCAGGAGATGACGTCATTCCGTTCTCTTTATGGCTACGGAAAACTCCATTGTGTACATACATCACATTTTCTTTATCCATTCATCTGCTGACAGACCCCTAGGCTGGTTCCATAACTTGGTGCTTGTGAATTGTACTGATATAAACATGGGAATATATGTATCCCTATGGTAGTTACTTTGGATAAATAACTTTAGTGATATCCCATTTTATTTCTGATATCAGTAATTTGTCTTTTTTCTTTTCTTTTCTTTTTTTCTTGCTAGAGGTGTGTCGGTTCAGAGACTTGGGTTCTGTTTCTTGACCTTTGTCCACTGCCTGTTTTAATGGCTTTGCTTTTGGCACCTACTCTTACTCTTCCCTTCCTCCTGCTCCTTCAGCTTTACTTACCTGCTCTTTTTAAGTTGTTGGGTGGAAGCCATTTTTTAGCATATGCTCCTGGTGCTCTCAGTTTCCCTGTGAACCTTGCTGTATCTGTGTGTCACTGTGACATGTGGAACTTCCATTCAGTTCTGTATGTTTTTGGTTTGAGACTTTCTGTGACCCATGGTTTACCTATAAGTGCTTTGTTAGTTTCCAGGTGTTCAGAGATTTTCTGTTACTGCTTCTAGTTTGAATCCATTATGTTAGGAAAAAACAACTTTGAATGATTTCAGTTCTTCCGTATATGTTGAGGTTGTTCTATGGCCCAGGATTTGGCCTGTGTTGGCATGCGATCCGTGGGCACTTAAAAAGAATATGC